TGGAGATGCAAATAGACTAGGTAGAGGACAAAAGCGTGATGTGATGTGTGGTCGACCAACGTTTATCCATCAACGCTTTTTAATTCTACTTTTTAAATTCTCCTTCCCCCCGGGCCATTTAGAATGGTCTACAAAATAATAGCCGCCACGTGACTGAAATGCCCCAGCCCACGTGAAATTTGATTGACAACAAATCAGATGCTGCCAAATGTCTCCCTCCACGCCAATCCCTGCAGCCAAGGACTTCCCTCTCGTGGGCTTTGATTTTTTGTGGCACCACGGGAGGGGCCTAACATATTCCCCAGGACAATCGAACTTTATGATGAACAAAATTAGGTCATAAGTCATAACTCATAAGTTGTTTGCTCCCATGATCTGATTCGCTAAGTTGTAAACATCATCAATCTCAATATAGTCAACAAAATTAATTTTAGTATGTATAACCTCCACTTATATTTAAACTAATAGGACAATGTTTTATTTGGTTGTTCTTAGTTTTGTGGCAAGGGGATATATATATATATATATATATATATATATATATATATATATATCAGGACAACCTATGCTTCATCAGAGTTGGTTATTTGGACCACTTCGGATTGTAGTGTGTTTCATTAGGTCAAAAGTTATAAATTTTGATATTTTCACATTGCTAGCTAGGGATGGAGCTACTCCACGAAGATCATTTCAAAACTGTCGCACATTTTGACACGTCACAAAATTTTCTCTACATAATTTCATCATCATTTAGAAAGATGCCATGCAACAGCCAATCTAATTAAAAAAAAATAAAAAATACTCCATCTGTCAAAAAAAGAATACTTCAAGTTTTAGAACAGAGGTAGTAAAAGAGTTTTCCATAGGACTACGCACGACATAACTAAACTTCATATGTATAGTAAATGTTGTCGATAGAGACACATTTCTCCTCTAATGGAAAATAGTAATCCCTCTCAAGAATCAGATTTAAAAGACACAGCGCGCAAGTGTCTTGATGAAATATAGATATCTTAAGCAATAATAGTGCTTCGGGATACCAAGAAAGCTTATAAATCCTTTTCCTCCAAAAACTGAATCGTGCAAAAATTGTGCTCTTCTTGTGTGAAAATTATTGTGCAGTTTCAATTTTCAGTTGTAGTTCAATTTGTACTAAAATGAAAATTTAAATTGGACAATAATTTCAGAACGTATTGAGCATTTTATTATATGATTCAAAAAAGAGTTATGACTTATTGAGTTGTGAGGGATTAGGGTCTCTATTATTAGCTGCTGCATTGTCGAATACTAGTTTGGTTTGGGCGTTTTCTTGAAGGCAAATAAGATTTAAGTTGATACACCGCTATAAGTTTTGAACCATTTTTTTTTCCCCCGACTTCAGTTGTGACCCATTGAAGTAGTGTTGTTAAAACTGTTGATGATATTTTTTACCCCTCTAATGAAAAAAAATAAATATTGTTTTTTACTGCGTAAGGAAGGGCCAAAAAGATACAGCTGGCTAGATTGGAATTTGTCATCACTGTTTATGGCAAATTGACAATGGCTAGTCAAGACTCAAGGGTCACATTACAATTATATATATGACATTTCTAGGTTGTTTTTGTTTGTCCATTTGTTTAAAATTCTGAAGCGGTCTTAGCGTTCCCTCACCTTTTCCATCTGCGGAAGAGTTTTATTGCTATTTAGCTCCGTTGGAATTTCTTAGTTGTGAAGAGTCATGTAATGTTGGATACAACTGATATAACTAGTATAGCACAATATAAAAATACGTTATTAACTGAATGATTAAAATGTCCAGATGTTCTTTTCATTTGGGTCAATTTAAATTTACGTTACTAACATTAACATTTCAATCTGGTAGTCCCAAACATTATGTTTTGAAACTTTTTTAGTCTAACCAAATATATGAATTTAAATATTCTAACGTACTGGTTTATAAAAGAATATTTTATTTTAGCGTCGAATTCTACCCGGAAAAAGTAAGCAGCGGGAGATAGTAGTAAAGGTAGATGTATGGACCTTTTCATTGAAACTAAAGAAGTTAGATATGGAAAAGCATGGAAATTTTAGAAACGCATTTGAGATCATTTCAAAAATCATCTAGAGATCTTTTTTTAAAAAAAAAAAAAAAAACGAACAAGGGAAGGTTAAATTCATTTTTGGTGCGTGTTTGAATAATTCTTTTTAATTTTATTTCGCTTTATCATAGTATAAATATATTTGAGGTGTTGTTTTTTTGGTGACTACTGACTGGGAACAATGCAGGAAACTGATTAGTCATCGAAAACTTATTAACATATTCAGTATATAAGATTTATGTTACATTACATCTCTAGGTATTTGAATGAATCAAAATCTCATACCCTTCACCTACAAAAGGTAAATATAAGAAAGTGTATTAAACACTACGTGTTTGATATCATTGTCTCAACTAATTTAAATTCGAACCCAATAGATCATTATATGAAATTCAAACTTTGATTATATTTAAACTGACACATTACTTTTAGCACCTGGACGCTGGAACAAATTCTTTTGGGTTTATTAATTCATTCTTTGTGGTGCATCATCATGCATTACCCCTTCTTGAATTATTTGTATGATAAGCAACATTTTTTTTTATAAACCTACATTTTAAGAATGCTATTTTTTTTTTTTAATTTTTTTGAGAAATTTTAAGAAGACTATTTGCAGTCAAATCATACCTTCCATTTTATGGTATCAGCCCAAATTTGGATAGCACATATCATCTCCAATGATCTTAAGGGCCTTTTCTAATATGTGGCCTAATTTAATGGACCTAAAATACCCGTTCTACAGTATCAGTCTTCCAAATCTTCATGCCATTTTTCTTGTCCAAAAGTAGAAGAGAAAATGCTCATTTGAATTGGCAAATTGCATATGAATACAAAGATTATGTTCAATCATGACCCTGTTGTTGTGTAGACAACATTTTGAACCAACTAATAATTTTTTGTATTTTCACAACTTGTATAAGACATCTTGAGAAGATAACAGATTTTCCATCCTCGGCATCTCTTGTATATGTACAACTTTTGCTTTAACATTTTCTATAAACATCTTGTCCTTTCTTAGTGTTTCTCATCCGAAATAAGGACGAATTTCAGAAAGTTTTCCACGAATACAAGAACGAAAAGGTGATGAGAACAAAGGAGAAATGCTTTCCAAGAAGGAGTAAAAATAGCAAAAGATCTTAAAGACGGATGCAAACAATATTTTAAAGAATAAATATAAAGGAAAAAAGAAATACTACTATTAGTTAAGCCGAAACAGAGGACTCGTTTGGACATGAAAAATGTCATGCCCTTGAGGTTTAGTGGGACTTTTTATAAATTAGAGGGATGATTTTGTAGTTAGTATTTGTAATAGCTTATTGAATTGTTTAAGTGTTCCATTTACGGGTTTTGTAGAATTATCAATGAATTAAGGAATGAATTTCTAAACTCCATTCTCCCCCAATTTTCCATTCTTCACTGTTCTTCTCCTTTCTCCCTATTAGGGTTCTAATCTCATTTTCTATAATTCTGAAATCTACCCCCTCAACTTCGATTTCTTCTCCTTTTACCACCTTTTCTTTAAAACTATACAATTAAAGGTCAAGGGCATCACAAAAAATAAGCAGCCAAAGCCCATTAGAATATCTGTAAAGTAGCCCAAATAGTAAAATGAAAATGACAACAGGCCTTAAGATCCAAGTAGTTTCCTTGAGAAACATGTGGAAGTTTCCTAACACCCTCCTCTCTACGCCTTTTTCGGCCCATGCCAAAATTCAATACGACAAAGTATTTCAGTGATGTCTCCATTCGGCTGCCTAATCTATTTCAATTTTCCGCGTTTTATTTTTTATTTTATTTTTGTGACCAGCATAAAAATTTGTCCTTTCTCATAATTATTTCGTAGGTTATTCCAAAACCAAATTTATTTATCATTTTTTTTAACCACTAAACCATAAGTTTTGTAACGCGGAGTACCAATCAGTAAATGATGACAAAATATAAAGGTTTATTTCGTTACGGTATTTTAATTCGATAGAATAGATTAATTTTATACTACAAAAAGACTAAAGGCGTGTTTGATAATACTACTTATTTCTTAAAATTATTCAATTAAGTACTTATTGATAATTAATAATAAAAACCGAACCTCTTATTAAATTAAGTTGCTAAAATTGCAGTACAAAATAAAAGAAATAAAAGTTAGTTTATTACTTAATCAATTCAGTATTTCTAATTCAATATTAAGTATTCAGAATTAAACATTAATTTTTATCAAACATACGATATTATTATTATGTGAAACACTATATGACTTGGTAACACTAATAGTTTATCCGTATACATCTTTCTTTTAATTTTTTTTTTGTCTTCTTTTAAAAAAGGAAAAACAAAAACAAAGAAAAATTAAAATTATAAGGGCATTCATCATATGAGTCCTCCATACGAAGAAAAAAAGAAGCAATTACACGTAAAAATTCTAAGAAAAGAGTGAATAAACTCAGTGATAACATAGTGTACGTGACTACTTATATATTAAATTTATGAACGATTTTTTTTTTTTAAAAAAAAAGAGTAACTGAAAAAAGGGAGTTAAAATGACAACTCAGCCCACGCACCCCACACGACCACTTTCCAAAATCTGTGACGCACACTTCAGCGCAGCGCTGCTTCTTCGTTCTCTCTGTTTCCTTAGTAATTTCCACCCTCTCAGTCAGTCTCTCTGCGCTATAAAATCAAACACATTGCCTCTTATCTCATTCTCTTCTTCCTTACCTTCCCAGATAGTTTCCAAATATCAGCATTTTTTTTTTCTCTCTCATCTATATTGAAGGAAAAAAAGAGGAAATTACTTTCAAGGGATCCGCCTGGAAGATGAGCAAAGTATAACCGCCTCTCCTTCCTTGCCTATTTCTAATTCTTGTTTTATTAATATATATACTCTGTTTTGTTTTTGGGGTGTAATAGAAGATATTTTCTGTAGTGATGTTGAGGGTGAAATTTATTCCGGTTTATGGTTTTGGTTGTTTGCAGAAGAAGAACAAGAAGGTTAATCACGACGGTGGCGGTGGTGGTTCTGAGAAGAAGAACAACAACGATGTCCACCCCAATGAGGAACCCAACCAGAAACGAGAAGAGGAACAGAAGAAGGACAACAATGGCGGCGGCGGAGGCGGCGGCTCCGGTGGTGGAGCTGTCCTTCTGAAAACTGAGTTGCACTGCGAGGGTTGTGCCAATAAAGTCTACAAATTTCTTCGTGGGTTCTCTGGTAAGTTGGAAAGGTCTCCTTTTCTCACATTGTATGCTCTGTTCTTGTTGATAACCTTTGATTTGAGGAATGGGTTTTTCTTAACAGTGACGATTATGGTCTTTTGTGGTTGCAATTCACACCAGAGGTTTTGCAAACATTCTGATTTTGGGTTCTTGTATTTGTATTGGTTGCTACATTACAGTGGCTAAAAACCTCCTCTGCTCTATTTGACCGGAGGAATTCCGAGATGCAGAGTTTTAACACTTTGTACACTTTTTGGCGTGATTTTTTTGTTGTGTTACAGAAAATTGTTTTTTAAGATCAGTTCTTTTTTGGGTTTCTTTTTTTTTTTTTTTTTTTTTTTCTTTAGTCTCTTTTGTTCTGTCAAATCAATGTTTCGATGTTTTCCTTCTTTCCACTGGAAACCTCTGTTTTGCTAATGAGTGGAAAACGGCCTAACATTCTTGTGTGTTTTGCTATTCAGGCGTGGAGAATGTGACCTTCGACGAGGGCGCATCGGGGAAGATAAAAGTGTTCGGAAAAGTTGATCCGGTTGAAATCCGGGAGAAACTGGAGCAGAAAACACACAAGAAGGTTGAGCTACTCTCGCCGGTGCCGAAGAAGGACAACAACAAGGAAATCGCAAAAGCCAAAGACGGCGGCGACGGCAAGAACTCTGACGGAAAAGGCGACAAAAAGAAAGATGACTCCAACGATAAGGACCACAAGAACAACAAGAAGGGCGGAAAAGACGAGAAGACCCCCAAGCAGGTACAACTGCCATTCTTTTCATCTGTCTGAGTAGAAAATTGAAAATTGCAGTTGGGCAAGAAATAAATTCATGATGAATTAGTTACTTTTTTTGGGGAGAAGGCAGCATGTGATTGAAACAGAAACCAATTTTGCCTAAAATGCGTGATTTTAAATGTCTACCCACATTTGTTGCAGTTGGTTTCGTTATTTCACATCACAGTTATTTTAAGGTTGCTGAAACCTAGGCCTTCATCATGCAAATTTTAATTTTTTTTTTTTTTACTGTGACGACCTGCCAGTCAATTCTAGAGTCAAAGTTTTGTGAGTTGTTTACTGATTATAATTGTTTTTTGGTGGGCAGCCTCCGGTTAGCACGGCTGTGATGAAGGTGCCACTGCATTGTGAAGGCTGCATTCTCAAGATTCACAAAATCATCTCCAAAACCAAAGGTAAAAAAAGTAACAAATTTTCTTTCTTTTTTTTTTTTTTTTAATCTTTGCCTTTTGGTTGAATTTGTTGTGAATGACTTTTAATTAAATCTTACTGATGGATTTTTGTTTTTTTTTTTGGTAATGATGACATTATTATTAGGTTATGAAGAAGTGAAGATTGAGAAGGAAAAGGATTTGATAACAGTGAGAGGTGCAATGGACATGAAGGCCTTGGCAGAGAATTTGAAGAAGCATTTGAAGAGGAATGTTGAGATTGTGCCACCTAAGAAAGATGAGAAGAAAGAGAAAGGCAATGGTGGTGGTGAAGGTGGTGGTGGGGAAAGTAAGAAGGCGGCGGCTGGTGGTGGTAAGGGTGGTGGTGGTCCTGGTGGAGATGGTGGGGACAAGGTGGAAGGGAACAAAATGCAGGTGCAACAGGTTGGGCAGCAGCAGCAGCAGTTTGGAGGGTACGGAATGGCAGCGCTACAACAACAACAGCCAGCATATGGGTACCCTAGCCCAAGTCCCTATATGTATGGAGGAGGTGGAGGTCCTGCTTATTTGGTAGGGGACCCTTATGCTCATTTTCCCTATCATGCCCCTCAGATGTTTAGTGATGAAAACCCCAATGCCTGTTCTATCATGTGATTGATGATCATCATCATCATCATCATCAAGGTCGAGGCTGGGATTAAAAAAGAAAAAGAGAAAAAGGGTTCTAGTACTTTTAGGCAGCAAGATGTAAATAAAAAAATATAGAGAGATCAGGGAAAATTTACTGCATGTTTTACTGGTGGTTAGATTCTGATGAATTCTGATGAGGATGATGGTTGCATTATCATTGGAAGAATGGCTGGTGGGTGGGTAGACTTTTGAAGAGGGAAGAGAGAATCTTTTTGCCTTGGGTTTAGGTGATGGGTGAATTAATCTTTTGTTTTGTTGTTAATGGTATGATTATGCGCCTCTGTAATCAAAACTTACTCTAGTAATGTAATGGTGGTAGCTAAGGCCAATTAGTGATGACAAAACTGGGTTTTCTCAACTTGTCTTTTACTTGTTTGGTGTTGGTTTTTTTTTTTTTTTCCTTCAATTCTTGTGTAGAATCTCTCTTAGGGTTTTGTCCTTATACGTTTAGAGACAACTGGAAAGTGAAATTCCTTTTTTTTTTTTTTTCTTTTGGCGTAGCTGAGAGAGCGAGCGAGCGAGTAGTTTATCAAGTTAGTAGTATCCAATTTTTTTTTTAGTGCACCAACCTCATTTTATTAGGTATAAAATTTCCCAACTTCATCATCATCATCATCGTAGGTTTGGTGTTTCAAAAAAGGAACAAGAAATTGCCACCAAAATGCAGATGGTAATGTGAACTCTTTTTGGTAAACTTTTTCTCACAAGAAAAATTTCTAGAAATCTATGAGCAGTACATAATCGATAACTTCAATCAAATGATGAAGTGGAATATTCAACTTCGCTTTGGATTTGGAAAGCATATACATCATGTATGGTTGATGATCCAACTCCCACCAATCAAAGTCTAACAACTGATAGGTTGATTTGAATAACACTATGTAGGAACCCAATTATGAATTTTTCTCTTCCTCAGTCTCATCCCAGCATACTTTTTTATATTTCCGATACAATTTTTAACATTCTCAATAGAAAAACACACATTAAAAAAATATATAAAACAAACATATATATATACATAAAGGATTTCAACTTCTTAATTTTTGAGATAGAAAACATTATTGAAGATAATAAATTAAGAAACTAGTTAGACATGAGAATAAGTCCATAAACTCATACACATCCCTAGACATGCATGCCACTACTTTGATCTCAATTACACACTTAAATCAATGATTACACGAGAAAGAAATAATAGAGTGTTCACATCAACTCCTCGAAGATGATTAATAACTAATAAATAACAGTAACAATTGATGACTAATGATGATGAGTGAGAAATGGGAATGAAACACAGCCATATGTAGACTTTGGTAGAATAGAACCCATCAATTGCAAAGGAGACTACTAGAAAGAAGACAGTAACAAAAGTGGTGTCACACATTTCAACAGGCATCATGACTTCTACGCCATTTTTAGAGGGGGAGACAAGCACCTCATATAAATGTAATTTGGATATGAAAAAGACAAAAATCCCAGATGCAACTTCTCAGTTTCTTCCAGTCGGGTCGGGTTAGAGGAAAAATTCCCTTTGGGCGATGGCTGGCTTTTGTTCTGTGAGGAAACTCCAAAAAACTCCTCTTCTTATCATTTTCTTCTGATGGTCTAGTACTCTGCCACTTTCGTGCCAAGCTGTGTGGGCTATGTCACACTTGATGATGCCCCTCTTCAAAATACATTATCGAATTATTTGTCCGTTTTAAATTTTTACTTTTAATACTAATATAATTTATGTTACAAATAAGAATTTAAACTAGACAGTTATTTCGAGACGGATTAAGTTATATATTCTCATCGTTATTATTCGTTTTTGGTCTTGAAGAGCTAATCCTAATCAATTTGATTGAAAAATAAGTATGGTTTCAACACACTTAGCCAAAACTACACTAATAAAACAAGTGTTATGTGCTACCAAAGTGCGATTTTTTAAGCACATAGACAGGATTGTGTGAATCTATATTGTGATAATTATATAAACCTCCTCCATGAAATGCAAAATTGCTACGAAACAATTTGTATTAAAAGTGAAATTTCGAATGTGAATGAAAAAGTGAAAGGAGAAGTATTGTTAGCAAGTTAAAGCTTAATTTGCAAGTGACATGTTGACCAGGCCGGGGGCATGAAGGTCAACGGCACTTGTGGGTCCCCGCTCAATATTGTTTATGACAACGTTGACATTATTAGATCAAAACTACCCAACATGTGTGCATGAATTATAGTATCATTGATCAATTTAATATTAAAATTTTGACCAAATTGATTCTCGATAATCATCATTGATTAAAGGCTTATTAAGTCATTTGTGTTTCACTCCCCCATTCCCTTTGGAAAGTTCTAGGACAATTTTAGAACTATGAGGAAAGGAACCTTCCAGAACGAGGAGTAGATGAAATGTACACAAAAATTCTTACATTTACTTCTCATCTGGTATTTTCTCCTTTTAATTTTAATATATTGTCTACTATGTCATATTATTTTAATTCAGCAAAATGAATTATTAAAGTGGTACAAGATAAGTAAATTGAGTTTTCTCTTAAAAAATGACTAAAAATGGACTCGGAAAATTTTGAAGAGGAAATGAATTGAACGTATAATTAACTTTAAAAAAAAATGTGAGCGTGACAAAAAGCCAGAATATTCTACCTACTCGCGACAAATCTCACACCACGTTTCATGAAACACGTTAATTTGTCACTATGTATTTTTTGGTACTAAAATACTAATAAAAAACAGAGGCAAAGCACTCTAATTTGCGAAATGATAAAAAGTCTTTCAATGTGTTTTTTTTTTTCTCTTTATTTTTTATCACTTAAACATAAAAAGGGAAAATAAAAAGAGAAAACTCTTTAAATAAAGGAGAGATTCCAAATCCATGTGAATGTGGGGCTTTTTTTTTTTTTTTCCCCAAGAACAAAAGGAAAGAAAAAACAAATATTGTCATGATTACACACATTTGCATGGCCTCCTACTCATGTGGGGTTAATTAAAGATATGGAAAGAGATTAATCATCAACATTGACTTCCAAAAGTCTACCCTTCTTTTTCCATTTTTCCTCAATTTATGAAAAACATGCTCGATCAATTAATATCAGAATTAGAAATGAAAAACATAGGAATTTGATGCGTAATAATCTAATAACGTTATTTGGACAACTAGTTACATGAGATATCCTGTGGTTTGTTTATATGTTTAAAAAGCGTAACTAAATAATGATGCGACAATAATGTTTTATGCATCTATATCTTACAAAATTTGATTATAAAAAAAAATATAATACTACTATTTTGTTCCGTAACCGTAAATCAATTTTTTTAGAGACAGGGAGAGTAACTTTTATTTTTATATTTTAAAATTAAAAAAAAAAAAAACGAAATGGAAAAAAGTAAAACGTAGAAGACGGGATAAAAAATAGTGGATGGACACAAGCATCTGCCGAATATGCAACTGTGAATTGTCTGCCGGCTAAAGTGTCAAAAAAGTGGCAGGTAACTTTTGATCGTGTAAGGTCTCCAAGTTGTATCCGTTTTTCAATTCTAACTTTTTTACTCCGCATGATTATTTGAAACAATATTGTTAGTCATTTTGGAACCTAGTAATAATTCATATATTGATGAGAAACACTTGTTCGGATCCCTTAATATGGTTGCATTTTCCTGCTATTTGATTGGTCCATGAGTTTATGAACTAAATCGTACTCCCTCCGTTCCATAATTATTGTCCAGTTTGAGTTTTCATTTTTAGTTTAAATTATACTAAAAGTGAGATCTCAAACTGGACAATAATTTTGGGACAAAGGGAGTACTATAATATGGCCAAGAACTGTGCAAACTTTAGATTCATCTCTTTTTATTTCTATTTTTATTTTGTGCTCCCCCACTATGACAGTTAAGATTGATATTTATGAATCATTGCTCAAGAGCTCAACATACATATGTTTGTTTAACTTGTTTATTGCAGATGCAGTTGGCTTTTCTACTGGAAATGTCAGTAAAAGCGAAACGATCACCTTAAATATGTCTTTTCAGACCATTTCCTTAAACCTAGTTTCCTTTTACCTCTTTCTTTAGTTTTAGTTACATCTGAAATAAATCACGCTAATTCCAACCCATTGCATGTATTGTAAAGGAGAGATTGTGGGTGGCCAACCACTGGGATTCAAAACATTCATCAGACAATGTGACAGACAAGGCTTTATTGTAGAGCTTCATCGGCTAGCAAAAGTTGTCAAACTATGTTCACAAACGAGTGGACTACTAAGAAATAATACTCCTTTAATCCCATAATTAGAAACAAAGACCAGTTTTATGGGTTGAGAGCAGTAATTATCAGGAACTATTACATCAGATTCTCTTCAAAAGGATCACTTCTGTCGCTAAGTTCAGTGTCGGCATCAATCTCATATACAGAGGTTTTGTAGCTAAGAAGCACTTGAGATCCACCTGTTATGTATAGCTTTTCCATTTTATTTCCATGGTGCAATTACTTCATCACCTATGGCTCCATCGTGAATCCTGATTGTCATCATCATCAAGAACGAGCTTGACTCCATTGTTTTTTAGTGCGTTAACTATCGCCCAGACCTTTGTCTGATTCTTGAAACCTTTTTTCTCTACCTCTTTGTTCACATCGACATGGATGCCGTTTCCCTGTCCCTGTTCAAGACCCTCTACTCTTAGTCTCATTGCTAACACTTCTCCCACAGTTGCAGCTGCCTTTGCATTACAGAATCTGCCACATTCGAATGCCTTTTTGAGGTCGTGCTCAACAGATGATGCAGACGCAACAATATGACCATTGTTCCTGTCCACTACATTGGCAGTGATGTACTTCAGCGAAAAGAACAATCTCAAAACGTATCTCTTCAAAGGTGGCATCCCTCAGGGAAATGAATCTGTTAACAAAAAAATATAAATAACACGTTGTTGTCTCTGCCAATAGATGATGAAGAAAAGCAGCAGAAGCCTACAACTATATATGTAAAAGATAGACATTGCCATGCTTTATGCATAGAATGTCCTCTCATTTGTTACCTAATGAGCTCATTCTAGTGGCTCCATAGGTGATCCAAAAACTATCAGTGTCAGATTAAGACAAATGAAAGGCACAATGACGCCCAAACTAAAGGTGGAAAGAGACCAATCACCTCTAAAAACACTATATGAAGTTCCAGATAACTTAGGGAGGGAAGAAAAATGCTGAAATCGCTTCCACAGCAAATCAATATGATCTTCAATTAGATTGGAGGGATAGAATCTCAACGTATTATGTTTTACATTGTAAATTTCATTCCATTAAAAGTCATACAATTTTCAGGAAACGGAGAGAAAAGAAAATGGAAATCCATAATGCTTTAAACTTAGGAGATCATTCTTAAAGCGCAACAGAGGATTTCTTGGGTGATGTAGAAGCCCCTGCGGCCTTCAATATTACATTCCAAACCTTAACGCAGTGGACAACGGAAAGGGGGATGTTCCCATGTGTTCCAGCGGGGTTGGATTATCCAAAACTCCATTACTTCAACAAAAATGAAGGGTTGAACAAACGGATAAGCTGCCTAGAAAACCGCTTTGGATAGAATTTTGCCAATCAAGAGCATATTTCTTGCTTGAATCTTTGGCGAAATGAATTCTGAATTCTTAAGTGTCACTCACACCCCTATATTTCTGAGTTCAGTGAAATGGAAAATTAAAAAATTGAACATGAGTGAAACAATAATGCTGCACTGAAAGCAATGTTGACTCCTGTTTCAATCACTCACATTTCTTATCCATAATTTTACTACATGCCAACCTGTATTTATCATTCTTTTCAAGAGAAAGTTTTATCATTTCAAATAGTCAAAGCGAAAATCACAATGCAGATATACTCACCTCTTGCAAAAAGTAGTCAGAAAAGTCTCTTGTTTCTGGACTCCAGAATCCACAGTTCAAAAAGAACTAGAGTAAACTGTCACGTGCCCCTTCGCACACAATCTGCCTTCTGATCTGAAGAATAGACAATCATCAAACTGGATGTCTTGGTAAGGTGCCCCATCTCTCTTTCCCTGACAATGGGGGATCACAGGTTAATGACGGAGCTTCAAAACAAGTAAAACAGCTACAGCTGTATATATACATATATATATATATATTCATGCATATTGAGATATTCTATCCCTACCCACAGATGTACAAGAAGCTCATAAATGGAAGATTGAAGCTCATAAATAAACGCACCCACAAGTAATGAGAATGAGCTTTAAAAGAAAGTAGGCAAGCTGTTCAGTATTACATGATTCTTTATTGGCTTGAGGGAGGAAATCATACGTGTAGGAATGTCAGAAAGAATGAGTAATCACTTGTCCATACTAAAGACATCTAACCACAAAAGATGTTTACACTACACAATCTTGAACATCAAAATTTGGTGACAAAAATTTGGCTTGATAAACCTAAATGAAAAATGATCGTCATTTCACTCTAGCCTGATACTAAGACATCAATATACATACAATGAAGTACTATTGCACAAATATTGACATAGAATATTCATGCATTTTGAGATATCCTATCACTATCTGCAGATGTACAAGAAGCCCTTGATTCTAAAGGACTGCACCAACGGTCGATTGGGGTTCTATAAATTTTAAAAAGACCAACCAGGTTGATTCATAGTCTAGTCTGTACCAGACAAATCGAAAGCTAATTTTTCACTCTATCAAACCACGAATCAAGGAAGTTAATTGATTCACATAATCAGTTAGTCAATTACCGGAGTGATAAAGTACACACCGGAACAAACAATTGAATAGGCATTTCAAGATGCAATTCAACTCCTCAACATTACAAGATTCCAAGTAATATATTTCGATGTAGCATTCAAGTATCATATCATTTACCATATATTCAATTCCATGAAGGGGGATTAATTTGCAGTGAGATTGCTCACCTGGATAGTATTTGACAATCCTACGATCACTTGGGAAGTCTGTTAATCAAACAAGAAGTCATAACATTATCATACCATATTCAATGAAAGTTTATGGCGGGGCATAGTATTCGTTTCTAAACCCTCCAATAGATGCAAATGATTCTTTCTCGAGTTTGGAACAACAGCAGTTCCAAAATTTTTTTTTTTTTTTTTGAAAGGGACAATTCCAAAATGTTATAAAAGCAAAAGAGTAACATGTGGCTAACAATTTCGCGGGAAAGAAAATGATATCCTCAAGTTTCAAATTCATTTTCTAAGATGTCTTTTTTTCCTAGTTCAAAAGTTCTATTGTATCCTTGGATGGCCAAAGATTGACAGCAACGAAAGTCATGTGAGAAAAGGGTATTTCATCAAGGAAAACCAAAGCCTAAAAGTCAGCTTCTCATTTTTTTGAAGTTCTGAAAATTCAGCAAAGTAGGGTAACTAGGTCATATTCAAATCATGTTATCGATCAAACTAAAGATCCAATTTGCAGGCTGAAAAAAACATTATAACCTAGGTTAAATAAGCTAGGGCTTAGTCCAAAGAAATCAAGAACCACAGTTAATAAGGTGAAAACGAATCTTCAAAGCAGCAACACAGAACAAAATTTTTAGAAAAATCCAGAATTTCGTGACAGATTGGTCCTGTGCAAATCCAATTTTCAGACAAACCGTAACTCTATTTTATGATCCGTAGAAACTGGAATAAACTTTAGGAAAAAAAGAAGACATTTGTGAAAAGAAATAGTCAAAAAGAGTTCAAGGAGAAAGGAGAAATGGGAGTCTAAACAGAGGAACGGAAGTCTGGTTTCTTCCTGCATTTTTTCAGAATGGAATAGGTAATCATACCCTGTTTTCAATCAAGTTTTAAGTCAAACCACAACCCAATTCAATCAACAGCAAAAAGCAGGATAGGCTTTCACGCATGAAGGTTAAAATCAAACAGGGTCTTAGCAAAAATGGTTACGGAACCATAGAGATTCGAAGCCTCAAAGATGGGTGGTCGAATAATTATTTTGCATACATGCAGCCAAACTGAAATTAACCCAACTCAATTGTTCATTCCCAACTAAAATAATCTTCAACAGTTAAACATTTCATGCAACTCAATGATTCTAGAATTTAAACTAAATACTGCTCCCTTCGAATTGAACTAAAACTGAAATCTCAAACTGGACAATAATTTTGGTACATAGGGAGTAACATATTTTCCAAATTCACAAACTGGGTACCAAATTCACAATTGCAATATATCTATAGACTTGGATAGCGTTTCTTTTTACCTCATTTTCCTTTCTTTTGTTTCGGATTCCTCCACTTCCTATCTTTCCTTGTGATTCTTATTCTAATTTTGAGATTTGTGCTAGGAGAATGATTGGTTATGGCTATTCAATTGCGTAGCCGGCTGCGGAGAAGGATTTGGGTGCAGGGCGGGCGAACGGCAATGGAGGTTTATGATGGGGCGGTGACCGGCGGTGGAGGAGAAGGATTTTGGGTGTGAAGAGTAAATGAGTGAGGTTTTAGGTGGGGGGGTTCTTTGGTAATAATCTTAATTTCTATACGTAGCGTTTTCTCGTTGTAAGTTATAACTATTCAATCCATTAGTTTCTTTTACTCGACTTTAGATTTCAAGAATTAAAATTAAGATCTCTCTTCTTAGACTAAACTGCATAATTGGTCCCATATATTTGGTCAAACTTAAATTTTAGTCCCCTACATTAACATGTATATGGAATGAGCCTTTACATTTCATTTTGAAACTATTTTGGTCCCTTTTCATTGTTCCGACATGAATTCCGCCTCGACAACCGTTAACCCAATGGGTATTTATGGAACACCACATATAAAAGGAACAATACATTTTATATTAATAATAAAATACTAAAAAGTTTGCTTAGTAATAAAAAAATGACACAAATTTCTTTACTAATTTTACCTTCTAATTTAAATAGATTTACTTAGCGAATCCTAATCTGATTACTCCATCTTCATTAATCTACTCAAATGTTTTGCAGGTACTTCCTCTTCCTTAATTCCAAAGTAACAACATGAAATACCAAGTACGAATTCAAATCCCAAGTTTTCCCATCAGAATCTAGTTTGAACTTCAATACACTAACCAAACAATATCTCATCGGAATCATCCAACTCATCTCGCCCGAAAATAAAGATGGTTCAGATTTGGAAATCTTCCTTCATAACCTTTGTAGATAGATAGAAAGTTATGATGAATTTGGAATCCATAATAACTTTAATAAATTTTACGGTGTTGGTCGGTGAGATGGGTCAAATGGGATGTAGTCTTTGAATTCGTTCATTTCTTTGGTGAGATTTTGATGGTAGGTAGGAATGGTGGTGGCAAATTGGTTGCTGGAGGTTTTATTTTGGACTGGGAGAAAAGGAGAAATTAAGGTAGTGGCGCTGGTTTTGGGAATTAAGATGAAATAGTTGGTGGTGGTTATAGCGACTATTTTGGGGATGATGGTGGTGAGATGCAGAGATGGTCGTGGTTTCGTTTTGGGGGAGGAGGGGAAGGGGTGGGAATTAGGTAGGTGGCAGTGATTTCGAGAGTGGTAGTTCTTATTTGGGGCTGAGGGGATGAAAATTAGGTTAATAAGATAAAAGATAAGGGGCAGTATGATTGTGAGTTGAAAGGTTGAAATAAATTAATAGCATTAAAATTTTTGAAGTTATTTAATAATATATTAATATTCAATGATTATTTTATTATTTCAAAAAGTAAAAAAAATTGAATTTTGAATTTTTTTTATTTTTTAGTTGTATTAATTTTAATTTTTTATTACTAAACAAACTTTTTAGTATTTTATTATTAATATAAGACGTATTTTTCCTTTTATATGTGGTGTTCCAAAATACCCTTGGTCAGGATTAGGTTAACGGCTGTCGAGACGGAATTCATGGCGGAACAGTGAAAAGAGACCAAAATAGTTTCAAAATCAAATATAAAGGCTCATTCCATATACATGTTAATGTGGGGGACTAAAATTTAAATCTGACCAAATGTAGGGGACCAATTATGCAGTATAGTCCTCTTCTTACTATTAGTGTACATACTGTTTTATAATGCCACTTAATACTTAAAAATTATTTGATTAATCACTTTTTTGTTTAAGTATGTTTGATAATAAAAAATGAACCTTTTAATGAATTAAATAGTGTTGAAACTACAATACAAAATATGCTTAATGAATTTGTATTTTTAATTCAATATTAAGAATTCAGAATTAAACACTAATTTTTATCAAGCAGTCTACAAAAAGAAATACATCTCATAACACCTATTGTAACCAAACATTAAATTTCTTATTATTATCAAAATTAAGTCATCAGGATTTATTGATAAATAATTTCACTACAAATATGAAAACATGATGTGGATTATTTTTTTGAATAGACGGGATAATATTTTATGCCATCTATTGTCACCAATTTTTTTTTAATTAAAATCAACTCGTCACGATTTATTAATCAATAATAAATTTAAATAAACTGTTAGTTTCACTTATTCTTCCCCCTACTAGGAGTGAGTGATACTCTGTGATAGAGATCATTTTATTTTGAGGGCAGAGCTTTGTGGCAGCTCGGAGCTGTCCCATCCCATCATGCAAAATATCCGAAGGCAGGAGGATCATGTTCTGTATCCATTCATGTCTACCTTTGAACAGACCATCTATCATATCGTCTGGAGTATTGCACTTAATCATGGTTTCACAAACATAATGCTCTTGTCGCATCGGCTTCCTTATTAGTATTAATTACTTACAGTACATTTTAATAATACTTGGTTACTTATTTTGATTAAATACTATATATATATATATATATATTCGTCCATAGTTATTTTTATAAGAACAATGTGATAATACACAACGGAAAAGGTTCAATTGTAAGAAAAACCTAGGATGAGAGATGATCCTTACAATTAAGTTCTAAGTACTTTGGTAATCTGGTCGCCGCTTGTTTTTTTTAATATATAACTAGATGGAATAAACGCGCTTCGCGCGTAAATGAATATTTTTCAAAATTTAGTATAACTATACAATAATATTCTAATTCTAGGAAAACAAAAACACATCGTATACAAAATGAATAATAGAATACAATCAAATTTTTACATAATAACCTATCCCCCAATGAAGAAAAAAGAATAGAAGAAAGAAAAATCTAAACTTAAAATTTCATAAGAAAAGAGCAGAGGGTGAACACTTGTAAGAAAGAAAAAGATAAATGTGTCAAAACTCTTATTTTTGAGAACTATATATATACCGATAAATTCAAAAAGATATGAAACTCTTAGTATTCTATTTGAGTTATAGAATTATAGAATAATTTATTTAAATTCTCACTAATGAAATCGTAAAATTCAAAAAAGAGAAGAATAAAAAACATATGAAAAAATTAAAGCTAGAAAAATGCTCTAGTTGAAATCATGACACATTAATTTGTTCTAAATTTTCTAAAATAAAAATCAAAGAGAAATTAATGGAAGAAAATCAAAGATCAAAACATTAAAAGAATCTTTTCATTTTCTTGGGTTAAAAAGAAGGGGAACAAACTCCTAACTAATAAAGAACATTAATTCGTTCATAATCTTTAAAATAAAAATAAAAGAATAAATTAATGAAAGAAGATAAAAGGTCATAACATCCAAGGACCAAATGTAACACATAAAGTCTTTTCATTTTCTTAGTTAAAAAAGATGCGGCGAAAAAAAAACTCATAGTCAATAGTGAAAAAAGACTATTAATGAATTAATTTGTTCATAAATAATCTTTAAAAAAAATCAATAGAAGGATATCAACAGTCATAATAATAAAGGAATATCAAATGTAACATATATAATCTTTTTCATTTTTTTGGATTAATAAAGTGGAAAAAGTCCTAATTATTAATACTTAAAAAGGACTACCAAACTCAAATATACATTAAGTAATTATAATATATGTTGAGAAATTCTTTTAATTCACTTCTTGCATTTTTCTCAAAAACACACGCGTATTAGAGAAATGTTCCAAACGTAAGCGCCAATGATTTGTCTCAATCAACTATTTGTACCTAATAAATTCCCACACGCCTTCCAAACATTAAATTCGAAAACTTGTTTTCAATCGTGGACATACAATTCTCATCCATTTAAGTTGGTCTTTTTTTTTATTTTTAATAAAAAAAAAAACAACTTTTGTACCTAACATTGGAAGCGTCATCGTAGTATTAATAAACTTAAGTAAAGCTTACTTTATATTGAGTAATTTTGAACGATCCACGCGGGTTAGAGAATCGTACTACATATTTTAAGAAATTAGACAACACTGTTAGATCTCAATTCTCGACTATAATTTTTTTTTTTTTTTTTTTTTGCTATTTGAATTTCCCAAGTTATAACAACAAGCAAATGTAGAAAAATACATGAATTTTTCAACTCCAAGAAAATGGGAAAGCCCTTAGGTCTTTAAGATAAATAAATTGAACTATATTTCCGTCCCTCTTACTTGAATAATCTAGTTGTTATATTATTACTTTTTTGAGAAAAAAATGGATTATTAAATAGAACGAAAGGAGTACTAACAAGTTACAATGCACAAGCCTTGATTAGGTTCTTTATTAAGAACTGAAAGATGGAATTCAAAGAAAACATAGGAGAATATGTAAAAATGGAAATAACTTGAATTAAATACTATTTCTTTTTGCACCATTTGTACACAAAATTGAATATAATTGAGAGGGATTAATATATTTGCATATCAATTAATGAAAGGGAAAAAAGGATGAAAAAAATGCACCTCGTTGAGATTATAGGAGGTTATCTCAATCACATGCATCATACATGTATACTATTACTACATTAACAAACTCAAAAATTTTTTTTAAAAAAATCTCTTTATGTCCTGAAAAATAGTCCACATTGTAAATTATAAATGGTACTGTTTTTAATGCAGTTTACAAGTTATTATATGGAATTTTTTCTGGGACGGAAAGAGTATTTAACAGGATGTCACCATGGTTCTTGTAGTAGTACGTGAAGAACTCCAATTGGTTTGGTAATCATCAACCCTTGATCTTGATGATGATGAGGGCGATGATGATGATGAGCTAGTTTCTTCCATTAAAATCCTCTCAAGCTCGCTTGGTCTGCAAGGAATCATCAAAGCACCTTCTCTATCGAACCCATATTCTTCAGCAGCCATTTCCAACAGTCTCAAAAACGTTGGATGTGTCAAATAACTCAACGGGACGACAAATCTCTTGAACTCATAGCCATCACAAGCGATCACAGCAAAATGGCCTTCCTTGACATCATCAGGGACATCCGTCGAATCGTTAACTTCTTCGAATTCGAGTTCATCATCATCACGATGATGGTGATCAATATACTCATGACATGCTGATGAAGCTGAAGAAGAAGAAGATGAAAAGGATGGTTTCTTCCCTAGTGAAAGACTCTTTTGTAGCTTCTCTACAACACCTTTGAGATTCATCTTTTTCTTGTAGCCATTTGTTTTAGTACCATTCCTAGGCATTATGGCTTTTTTTTTTCCTTTGTTTTTTTGAGGAACAAATTAATTCTCAAGGTGTGGTATCTCGGTGGGCAAAATATGGGTGAAATTTATAGGGTGGCAAAGATAAGGTTAATGGGGAGGATTGCATTTGCTTGTGAGGTTGAAGGACATTGGGGTTGTACTGACTTAAGGTAGTAAATAAGGGAGACCAATGCATGTGAATTTGTGAATGAAGTTTCAAGTCAAGCCTATGAAATGTCATTTTCCTCTTTGCTTTCAAATCATCATAGACCTTCAACAGTTTTCATTTCATGGGCTTTTTGGTCGTCCAGTCATTATATATACTCTCTCAACTTCAACCTTCTCAATCGGGCATACAAATAATGGTGTTCTTTTGTGTATGCCACCTTTGATTTAACAACACCCTCCTATTTTCTTATAACAAATAGTTGTGTAAAAGTCTAAACCATCGTTATATTATGATGTATCGAAACTGAGAAAATACGATTCACAACTGACTTTACTTAACTTTCATACATAAACATATCGTACTAACAATATTAGAACATCTGTTACAAAATTGATTTTATCTGTGAATACCACATGTCACAAAGTTTTCAATCACATACACTGGAGTATGCGATTACTAGTATTATATAATGATGTATGGAGTGTGGCATACAAATTAAAAATGTAGGGACAAGATTAGGAAACTCATATTTGATAGATCTTATCGGGAAAAACAGGGAAAAAGAAAATGTGATAGCAATTTTAAGTTATGTTCTATCATCACAAAATTGGGAAGGATCCCGAAGATTCTGAAATTATTGTACCTGTACCATTTGCAGTGTAAAATCGAGTCGTTCGAACAGAGACAATGTTTTTGTTGATTCAGTGATTGGTAAGAACATAAGGTGTAAAATACACTGGAGCATGTTCTATTGTTTCCTTTTTCAGCCTCTTATTTAATTATTTTACATCTTTACCCCACTTTGAAAAAGAAAATACTGCTTCTGGTACACACACACATATATGTATATATATATATATATATTTTGGTAACGGTTACATATTTGTGCACCTGTTGTGAATCTAGATTCCTCTAATGGAAATTACGTCCATCGAGACGTTTTTATATTGAGAAAATGGGAGATTTGCAATGGGTAATTTACTGAAGGCAACAACACAATAACATAGCACAAGTACCAAATATTGATAAAATTCAGGAAGGATGAAAAGAAAAGAATCACTCAAAGAGTTATGTTCTAGGCGTGTTAAACACTTTCCTTAAGACAATATTCGCCTCTACTATACTTACAATCGGGTTGAGAGTGGCAACTTGTCCCTAGGATACAAAGAACAACTAGAGTTAGCAATTTGCAAGGTATTAGTCACTCTTAGAATTTGGGAATGCATGGTTCTTGTGTTTAACTCACCAAAAGAAAAGGTGTTACAAAAGTACGTGAATTTTTCACATACAACAACTAAATGAGATATCATATATATATATATATATAAAGAATGCAAGACACTTGTAGTCTTGTAAAGTTAGAACCGTCGCAACTCATCTTCAACAGTGAATTATTATCCTAAGTCATCAAAACAATTTTTAATAACTTAAAATTCGATGAAAACAATTTTTCTTTATCTTGCAAGATGATATCTTGCATTAGATAGTTGTAACCAATGCTTTTTCCGTAACATCTAACCTCACCCAATATTAAAAATATCTAACATATATAATATCTGAAGAACATTGTATCTGAAGCAGTTTCATGATGAACATCACGTACATATGCATATATAAATATATATATATATATATATTTGCATTATGAATTATCTATAAATAATGGGTGGTCATGAAACACGAATATAATGTAACAAACCCTCATTATATTTTTCCCACAGTTGTATGTTTGTCCTGCTGATTATTATAGCGTAACATAGACATTAGTTAACCATCATTTCGTTCTTTTACAATAACTTATTTCAAAGATCTACGTACATTTTGTTATATTGCATTCGTTACTCTATCTGTTGTACTCTTTATTAGAAGAGAAGGTAAATGTCAAAATCATCAAATGTTATTCACCCTTACGCAAGGCATGTTTCACTCAAAACCTCACCACCAAAAACCTTCTACGTACTCTCCAAGGCGCCCTCGCCGTTGAAAGAGCCGCCAGTCGGCGGTTAATTTATTGGTTTCCCACCGTTGGACCTCTGCGGCTGAAGATTTTTGGACACTCGAATAAAACAACAAATTGACTAGAAATTTTTCGCCGGCAGAGTGGATGATGCTGATGCATGGCGGCTATTTTCAAGTTCCAAGTTGATGATGTTGGCTGGTCTAAATGCTTTTCTAATTAAAGGGTAAAATAGTAAGCGGGGTGTGACAGCCTACATACACTTTTCTTTACATTGATTTCTTTTTCTTTTGTTTTTTGGGGAAAAAAAAAATGAGAACGTTGACATATATCGCAATGCATTATTGATTGGTTGGACATCTCATTCTCAAACAACCTCGCAGACTCTCGCTCATAAACTGTAAGGAGGCACTCTGTGAAAAATTTCAATCGTACTTAACTGTTGTATCACAATCTCCATAACCCCCAATGTTGTCAACTATTGTATCATAATCATCTCTATAATATTCATGTATTCAATATCCATTTCTTAAAAATACTATACATGACGCATACATTTGACGTCTAAATTACTATTTAACTGATTAAGATAAGGCAGAAGTCTGCCAATAAATATTTTTATCAAACTTTGTATATCTATATATTAGGATTCGAACTCTAATCATAGTTTTTTTTTTTTTGGTTTGGTATATTACACACCAACTAAATATCTTTACCACCTAAAGAAAAGCTCTTATCGTAGTTAATTTGGCCAAAATAATTTTTACCTCCTAAAACAAATTCAAAATATATTGATTGTCCGTTTAATTTGTTCTACAAAATTGGTATGTGTAATTTACAAGATGGACTTTTTCTTTCCATTTTTTTTTTTTTGGAGAGATGAGTACACTCATTAGAATGAACAGATTATTATTTCCACCCGATCAGGAGATTCAGCCTAAATTAAAATCTCCCAAATCATCCATTTAAAAAAAAATGGATTCAACAACATCAATAAAAAAAAAGTACTGGTTTATATTAAGTATTTCACAAAAAGGCGGTGAATTTGAAAACGAGCACTAACTTCATAAATTAATTCGACATTTCTTCATGTTTTTGGACTGACTGGATTCTCGATGGATGCTTCATCGGACACACTCTCAATATCGTTCTTAAATTGTTTACTTTTTTAAAAAAATAAAAAATAAAAATCTACCTCAGTAGACCCTATTTAAATGTGAGTAAAACCCTCCTTACAACCCTTAGTGGGAATCGAACCCTGGTTTATTACCATGAAATATAACAATCTCGAACCCTAGTTTATTACTAAGAAATATAACAATCTAACCATTAGAATATCATTCAATTCCCTCTTAAATTGGGTATCTTAATTTGCTATCGAGAACGAAAAGTATTGTGTATATTTTATTAATGTACTTTACTTAAGATACAGTACCTTACATGACTATTACGACTTTACGATACACATCCATCATACGTACTTATCCACAGTTCATATACTATTGAAGTAGTCGATATCACGATTTCCTCAAGTTTCCCGATGATGATCAATTTGGTTTCAAACTTAAAATGGTTTCATGCTTTGCATATTAAAATTCCATTTCACCAAAAAACAAACTATGAGCAACAAATTGGGTTGAAAGTTGAAACCAGGGTCTAATAGTAGCTCCACTACATAAATTAATTCCAAGAAGAAAATTCTTGCAATTAGCCCAATTGCAGTTTCTTGTTTTGAACATTATTTGCGATCGACTGAAGTGTTATAGTATAACCGTAGCTAAAAGGTTAAAATCACTTCTATTGAATTTTGAGAAGCCATACCATATACATTTCACAATATTGTAAGGGTTTGCATAAAAATCCGTCATTGAAAGGGTTTCTTGTCTGGAATAATGCTTTAATATTGCAAGTCTCTTCGTCTTACAAACATCAGATTACCGAAGACATGGGCTAATCTACTACCCTACCAAGTTGGAAAGATGTTTAATTTTTTTCTCTGTTGCTATGTGGATCTGGCATTCAAAGTACTTCAACCAAGAACTGAATTCTTTCATGACAGGACCCCCATTATTCATTTTTCACGTGAAAATGTTTTCTCTTTTTTATTAATTTTCCCCAGTGTGTTTTCTTCTTTCTCTTCATTGAGAACTTCTATATATTCCATTTCCCTGCGGATAAGTTCTGATTGTTGGATCATTTCCATGCAACAAAGAAAGAGATGAGCTGGAGTATGGAAAAGTGCTAAAAAAAGTGCAGAAAAGTTCATAATCAAATGATTGATGCTGCTGAATGTACACTTCTCATTCTCTTTCGGGGAAGAAGATATTTTTGTTGCAACACGAAACCCATTCCCTGACTAGACTGGACTAATTTAAAGCCCTGTCTTTCGTGTACTTAATCTTCTAAAACATATATTGTATCTCATAATTGGGTTAATGACACAAAGATCACGTTACTCGACAAATAAGATTTTTTTGCTTTAAGATAGATGAGTAATATTTATCTTTATAAGTGTTATTAATTAATAATGATACGCGCGTAATAAAAAGTTTTATTTATGTATAAATTAACCAGATAAAAATAACGAGTTTTGATACCACATGAAAAAAAAAGAAAAAAAAAAGATATGAACATAAATATTTGACAGGTATCAAATCAAAATGCGTAATTCCTATGTATCTTATCGCAATTTAATAATTAATTACCTGCGAAACTAAACTACACACTGTAGGAGATATCTCGGCAACAACGTTAATTATCAGCATTGCAAAATTAACAAAATTCTTGAAGGGTATAGTTTTCACTTTGAGGTCTAAGCGAAACTAATAATAGTCGCATGTTCCATGTGTAATGTGTTGCTACATTTACACGGATTTGACAGTTCTACAAGCATGACAGGGTTCAATAAGGTGGTTGAGTTTTCCTTTTCTCATTGCTATTTTCCGACTAGCTCTTTTCATTTCCATTTACATATGAGTATGATATAGGGTTCTAAAAAACAATAATCCAAAATAACCTACTTTTAGGCATTGGATATTATTTCTTTCTAGCTAGGTCGCTTTTAATGTGATTCTATAATTTTTAACAAAGCGATAATATGGTTTTGCCTCGTACGTTCGATTATATACATGTCACAAGTAATGATGAAAGTTTATTTTCACAAGTTATGATTATATAGGAGTTTAATTTCAAGAAGACGGTTGTATAAGTAAAAATATTGGCGAGAGAAACCAACACCGATTAACCGGACCAAAAGCCAACATAAAATCAATCCGATTCACCAAACAATCGGTTAATAAGTTCCGGTTAATCGATTTTTTACTGGTTAATTGGTTCAGTTTTCAGTTTTACATATATTTTTTTCGGTTAAACCGAATAACCGATTATAGTAATTAAAATTTATAAACTTAGGCAAATTTTTTATGTCTCATATTTCTATATTATCAATCTTTTTCATTTTTTTAAATGATTTTATTAAAAAATTTTATTGTAATAACATGCTTTTTGGTGGATAGACTATTATAGAAAAGAAAGAGTTTGATTGTTTTTATTGTAAATTGAGAGTTTAAAAAAGATTTTCACTATTTGATGGGTCTAAAAATATTATATGAACTATATAAATTTGGAAAAAAAATTAAAATTTTTGGGTAAACATCAATTACATTTTGTCTGAAAAATATGACAAATAGTTTTGGCTAACCAGTAATTAAACCGAAAATCGATAAACTGATTATTTAATCGGTTGGTTAATAGATTTTATTCAAAATTGACAAAATTGAAATTAATCGAAATCGATTAACCAGTAAATTTGCCGGTTGAACACCCCCATACTGATACAGGTGGAAAAGGGATTTGTTGGGAACAACCTAGCAAATTAATGAGATGACTCTATCACAAATTTTGAGTAAAAAACTAATTTTGCTGCATATTTCTTTGACAAACACTTATTTTTGGAAAAGTTACAAGATGGTAAAATCCACCGAGTAATTGAATCATTGCTATTATAGGGATCACTTATTTTCTTTGACACTTATGTCTCCCTATTTTATTACCTAAAAAATATACATTAAATTTTATTATGGCCAATAAAGTCAGCTTAATTGGAGAGAAGAAACATACTCCCTCTGTCCCACAAAAATAGTTCAGTTTAATAAAAAAATTTGTTCCAAAAAAATAGTCTACTTTCAGAAAAGTCAAAATTAATTGAATTGAAATGACTTAAATATTCAAAAGAGTAGTAGTAAGGAAAACAATGACCACTTCATTTGATTTTCATTTGTTTAGTTTTCTCCCTTTTTTCAAATGAATATATCTTTTAATACATGAATAATTAAAAAAATATGTTATATATCAAATTAATCTACGTAACGAGATCTTTTTATCAAAACCCATTGTCAATATCTTTTGAGATAAAAATTTTGATCAAATTTAAGTTGTAAAATAAATGCATATGTAGTTAACTTTTATAGAAATAATTAGAAGGGACATTAGCGGAAGTTAGGGGCATAAAATGAGTTGTACTTTTGGTGTATTAACCAAATTAAAAAAATTGTATATTTTCAAACTAGATTATTTTTCTGGGACGGAGGGAGTATAAGTAATGTGACCGTGTTGGAAAGTTTATTTGGAGTTTACCTCAAGGAACGTGCTTTAGAACACCAGCCAAAAAACTATGGGCTCCATTGGATATTCCTTCGGCCTTTTAAGTTCAAAAATGTAACATGGGCCAACCTTGAAGGTCTTAAAAAGATGGACAGTACTGCAAAAGTTTCAACCTCAGTGTTTCCCCGCCACATGCCCATGCTAGATGTGTAACCCTTAATGATTTATGCCCGTCCTAAAAAAATACTTCACTTTGGTAATTTGCAAGAAGCGATTATTTAATTTTCTGAATCAAAATTTTAAACATGATTGGTCACCTTACTAAACATTTAGCGTGTTCAACAGCCAAAGACGGCATCGTGTCTTAATTGGGTTGAGGCAGCCCCCCACAAATGATGCATTTTACTGTACACATAATGCCAGCATGAGAAGAGACCCAGATAAGTACCTTTTTCTTCCCTGAAGGACAGACAAGTCGACGCCCCAAGCCATTATGGGATGTAAACTCACCAACAAAAGGGCATTCAGCCCTTTGCTTAACTGCCCTTTCCAGAAAAGATTTTAACTTCATTAGAGTTAAGGCACAAGTGGCTAACTGTCACACCTCATGATGTTATGGTAGTCTTCTCGATCATCCAGTTTCTAGATATTGCTAGCCAAATTCATTGACTGATTAAGCGAATCATCGGTAGATAAAAGTAAGCACTCTATGATCAGGTTTTACCCTTCACACTGTGGGGGAAGAGGTTTCGATCTTTTTTCACCCAACGAGTTCAAACCGTGTAACCAATTGCTTGCTCATTTTCTGTCTGCAGTCAAGTACAGTAAACACAGATTTTAAATTATTATACCACTAGCAACTAGCAAGTGATTGTTCCAGGTTACAACAGTCAAGGAGGGTTAAGAACTTCAATCTACTTTCTTTATCCTGTCTCTAATTTTTGCCTACAGTACACCTCCGAGTACTCCGTATTTCCTATACAGATAACTTTAGGACTACAAAAGAATAGAATAGCTAGCGCAAAAATAACCTGAGATACAACAACCCTCTTTGCGTATCTGGTTACTATATTTGTTAACTCCATGTCAGAAACCTGTGCAAAGTGACTGCTAGCTCAGTTGAGCACCTAGTCAATTGTCAACAATATGGCCGGGAAAATCAGTTGTAAGGCTCCCAACATAATCATGTATGTTGTCAGTTTGAGTTTTTTGCTGTCATATTACAGACAGAGGAGGCTATAGAAAACAAGGGGTATGAACGCATTATCAAGCTGTGCAGTATAAGCCTCCAACAATCCACTAGCTGTCACTGCTACCAGCAGAGAGAACAAGTTCTGCAGAGTAACCACCAAAACGTTCAATCAGATACATGTTAAACAATGGGGTAGCACAAGTTTAATGAGAGAGAGAGAGAGAGAGAGAGAGAGAGAGAGAGATACTTGAGTAAAAATGTATCCTGTTGTAGCAAGAAGGGGAGGCAAAACATAGCACGCAACCAAGACACAAAATATACCAGCTGCCGTCCCTTCTACTGTTTTCTCTGGCAATGAAGAAGTAATGCAGTAAATACACACTAGTCAGAGGAGGAAAAAAATCTTCATAATAGTACCAAAGGAACTTACTGCCAGTTTTACTCCAGCGAAGGACTCCATACTTGTGTCCTACCATTGAAGCCTGAAGGCAAAAGGCAAACATAACTAGTCAAAAGATGATAGTAAAGGTTCTTTCGCAAATGACAACAGAAACATAGAATATGTATTCGTAAATGACAGAAGGCAACTAAAGATGCATGATTCGTGAAGGAGATGGATTTGTCTAGAGCAACTTAGTCACAGGTTCTTTTCTAATTTTCTTCATCTTCTACTTGTGTTACAAATTAAATACTCCCTCTGTCCCAAAATTCTCCACTTAAGATTTTCATTTTTGGTTCAATTTGTACTAAAACTGAAAACCCAAACTGGACCATCATTTCGGGATGGAGGGAATACATCAATCTGCATTTTATCATGCAGCAAATATGACAAACTGTGCAGCAGTCTTCTGTATGTCTTAGAGAGAGATTGTCCAGGTACCTCAGAAACCCTTTAGTAAACTTCAATACGGGTCATTTGAAAGCAAATGAGACTGGCAAAAAACTTATAACAGGCAAAAACAATTGTGGTTAACACAGGGCCCAAAAAATAATATTTCGACCAAGCACATTAACCATTTGTTCAGCATTTATGAAAACTGAAACTGATGTAGTTCACCAAAAGATGCTGACTATACCAAGCATTTGGCTTGCTGATACATAAAGCGGCAAAGTGCAAGTCATCCATATTATCCAAGGAAGACAAGACCAAAGAATCAGCACAATCAACCAACAAAGTAAACAAATATTTACCATTGTGTCTCCAATTCCCAGGCTCAAAATACCAGCAAAAGGGGCCAATGGTCGATCACTAAAGCCAGAGGACAACCATATAGGAAGGGCACAGCCCAGCAACAGCGAAAAATGGCTGAACAAGGAACAGATAGGAAGCAAGTTAGAGGTTAAAGAACTACTATTAGCAACCTACTTTCTTAATGAAGAAGAGTTTCCAACCTGATTACAAGAATCTCTGAGTCACGATGATCCGTGAAAGCATTCATGAAGTGGTGCACCAGCTGCCCTAGAGGCCAAATTCTCCATACCTGCCTAAAAGACATAATCAGGCATGCATATAAAGAGGCTGTATCAAGACTGCTCAAAAAAACCTTTCGGAATGGCAGAGCTAGTTGGATTTTTTTGCCTGCCCTGCTTCTTGTTTTGAACTTTGAGTTTAAATTGACTGAAATACATAAAACTTCCTATGATTTCCAAAGAGTGTCCATGATGCCTCCGATCTTACAAAATTGCACATTTTGCCCTATTTGAATGAGGTTCGAAGAATAGGAAATGTTGGAACAACATTAATGTCCAAAATTGGAGCCAAACCCAACAGAAGATTACATCTTGGGAAATTATGGAAGGAAACACCATTTTAGAATCGGTAGAACCCCTTTTCATTAGATAATTTGGAAGTAAGCATTCAGTTAGAATGAGAAACTTACTCGAATGATTTCCAATATCAAGAAAACTGCCAAAGCAGCACCGAATGCGAGATCAAGAAACTTTGGCTGGAAAAAAATGGAGTTCAATGTCATTTTCAAAAAGAGTAAACAGATCAAAAGTACAAAAAGATAAAGCAAACCTTTCTCTGAAATAAACTCACTTGAAATATAAGCGCCGGGACGAACATCAAAACTGCCATGAGATGGTAGTATTTCCGGAGAAGAATCCTCTCTATTTTACTGTTCTTTGATATATGATAAAACCGTGTAACTGATACATAAGTAAGAGCTATCCAATAGGTACACAAAGACAACCTCTTAAGTGGCTCTGAGAAGACAAAGTCAAGCACCCTACACCAAAAAAGCCAACTGTGTTAAGATCTTGAGTGCCACAGTGAAATCCTACTATTTAGACAAACTCAGCAGGAGCACAAAAGTAAGCTCTGTTTCAGATAAGAGGTAAACTATCATTGACGAAGTTATCAAGATTGTGGTCACTTTAATGCTGCGAACAAGTAGGCTAGGAACCCATTGGGTTTTTTCCTAGTTGTTTAATGGACATAACACTTCTGTCATTCTCTCAGGTTACTCATGCATGTACAAGGCCATACCAGTCAATTAGCAGCAGTTCAGCTGCTGGTCACACATAAATAACATATCATCCTCACAAGAACAACAACAAATAATCAGACATACACATACACAAAGATAAAGACTCATAAAAGGACTCAAAGAGTATTTTATTTTTCCTTGCTGTAAACTTAACCGCACACTGTAGCAAAAGCAATCAATTTAAAGACCTTCTAAACTGTTAAGACACAGTAGGGAATCAGAAAATGGGAAGAGTAAATACCCAGCACAAAATTGCTCACAGCATCAACCAACATCCTCCACAAAAGTAACAATACGAAAAAAAACTATCACCAAAGCTTAATCATTTGAAACCGCAACAAATCACGTGCGAGACTAAGAAAAAAATGAATAGAAAATGTTCATGGGCAATACCATAACAATGGGTGAGAGTGGAAATCCTGAACAAACTGCATCCATGAGGGAACAACCGCAATCAACATAAATACAAGAGAGCCAAAGAATATTAAGGACTTCTTTATTTCATTATTTGGCCTCATATCCTGAAAGTTGAAGCATCCAGCAATTTGATAGATGAACTTGAAAATCATAGGAAAGAGAAGAAGACCGAGAGTCATGCCCTGAAAGAATAGTAAAATTGTTCATCATTAATAAATACATCAACAGTAATGCTTTCCTCCAGTCGAAAGAAAATAGTGAAATGAACAAAAAACGGGGTTGAAACTTACCTGAACAATGATACTGATTTCACTTCTTCTACTAAAATATTGTACTGAAGGAAAATTTGGAGACGTCAGATAGCCATAAATCTGTCAACGATACATCATTAATGGTCTGGGTTAAAACAACGAAAAACAAAGAGACTATTGTCAGAAATGCTTACCTTTCCAACAACAAGGGCTACCATGTCTCCGAAATATACTACAAGCCCAGAAGTCACCAAGAGAGTTTCTCCTGAGAAGCAAGAATCTTTTAGAGCATTACCTATAAAGATCTTTCTGCTAAACTTATAAAAGAAAATTGATTAAACAAAAATCTAGCACTAATAGCTTAAAGAGCGTCATTTTGTAGGACACCAACACAATTCACTGGTTAAGAGACATAAAAGTATGCAGTTTTACCAGAAGAAATGGTTTATCCAAGGTGCCCACTAAATATACAAAAACTTCATTTCAGGTTTCTTTTTAGTTTATTCTTAATACACAAATAATGAAATAACCTACCAATAGAAGCACAAGCTGGAAATGTTTGAAGGATACTCTGAATTAGTTTTACAGCTGAAGACCCATGACAGGCCACCCAGAACAATATCAATTCCATCTTCCAGCCTGAAAAGTAAGGCAGAAAGAGTAAAGTCAACAGTCTTAAAACTTCAGCAAGAAGAAAAATAGAGTCTTAGGATTAAATATTGAACCTAAGCGCAAACTAATAAGAATAGTAGCAATTGCGTCACCCTAAATTTCATAAATCAGCAAAGGCCAAAACAAACTCAAAAGTTATAGGTGTTCAAGGATTCATAATCAACATACCAAAATGATTTTTTGCACCTAATGCGATGCAGCAAATCCCTGCATACAAAGCTATACAACAAACACCACTAATTTTCTTCCAGTCACGACAAGAACCAACAGACTGCGTATTAGTCACTCTTCGGTGGAGAACGAATTGTAGGAAAGCTAGTACGCAAAAGCAACTGGCAGAAGCGGCCCAATATTGCAGACGAAAATATTCAAAATCTGCATAGAATAGAAAAACAAACAGTTAATCCCTTACTCCACTGTCATTGGGGAAGGTGTACTGGATTCTACAGCAGCCATTCATAGATTGATTGGGACTTGTAGTCCGAAGACATTTTTTTATATGAGGTTGCTCAAAACAACCCTCTATTGTATGCCTTGCTTCTAATAAATCGCTGGTGGTAGTAGGAAGGAACAAAAATTCAAATAATGCTAGTACACAGTATCCTGTCTAGGGGCATCTACGTGATATTTTGCCTAGATACTTGAGTATTCTGTATGGGGTTTGTAATTTCTATTCTGCAAAATGGAATGAAATTATACCCCCCAAAAACCAAAAAAAAGAAAAAACAAATCCTATCTCACTTTGGTAGCATTTGTTCCTCTTTTAGGTGCATAGCACCCTACTGCCCCAACTCAGAAGATCACTACTATTCAAAAGCATTGAAGCTTTAGCATGTTACCTAAGAACAATAATGTTTTACCTGCAAATCCAACTTCATTTGAAGACAGTCCTCTCGACATCTGAACCAATCTTGACAACATCAATCCTGGAAGCGTCACTGCCCCAAGCAATATCCCAGAAGATGCACCTGGCCTGAAAACCATCATTTGCAGCCAAACAATAAGCAAAAATGAAAAGGTAGTCCATGATTGAGGAAAATGAAACATAAATGAACCAAGGAACCTAGAAATATGTAAACGAATCCTCTCAGTATAAGTCCAGCAAAAGTAGAAGGAGAATGAGGAATCGACAGAACCCTAATTTCATAGTTCCAATTGATTACCTTGTGGTAAAGAATTGAGAAAAGGGATCATCACGATCTGCAAAAATGTCGAGGAAGATAGCAAAGAGAGAGACAATGGACAAAGAGATGGACTCATATAATAGGAGAGAAAAAGGCGCCGCGCAGAGAATCCGAGCTATGTAGAGCACCACCACCGCTCTCTCTCCGTTCATCCACGGTAACGCCGCCATCGGTGATGCTTCCCCCAGCTCCTTCTTCTTCTTCATGCGTTTCTTCCAGATTTCTTTTCCCCCCTTCTTCTTCTTACTGATTTGGGGAAATTTCGACGAACAGATTGAAAACGCGTTGAACGATTGAAGAAGAAGGATCAAATCATAATAGAATTTTCACATTAAACATGAAGAAAAGACAAATTGATCGAGAGGAAACGCGGACCGATTTGCGGTTAAAGGGGGGGTTTGGCGCGCACGAGGTTTATCTATCAATTACTTTTGTCGTTTCGACAAAATTCTGGTAATAAGTCGTTGGTTTAGGTTCGCTTCCCAAGGTGGTTCCAAAAAGGATATACTGTTTCTTGTTATCAAAATGGTCCTCACATTTTAGAATAATACCCGTTATAGACTCTCTCATTTGTAATATATCACAATTTTAGTCCCTCGTAAGCGTAAGAATATGAAAATGATATTCGATACTATTTTTGTGAAACGGAGATTAAAAAAACAATTGAAATCTTTACAGCAATTTCCACAGCTACTTATACTCTATTATTCAAGATGTAGAGAGACCATTATACTGAGATTAAATGCTTCGTACACTCAATATTTTTGATGACATATTCTCAAGTCACATGCTTGAAGAAAGGCATTAAACAAAGATTTCGAGTGTTAAATAGAAGTTAGAATAATTGAAATGCTAAGAGAGGAAGAAGCAAAGTAAAACAAGTGAAATGTGGGGATATTTTATGAAATTGTAATATTAATTAAACGGGCAGAAAAATAAAGGAGAGTAGAATAAATCTAACAGGCGAATGGCGATAGTAACCCATCTAAAGGAAAATAAAGACTTAAGGTGCAAAGTAATTAGTAAACTCTAAGTATTAATATAAGTTGTTTCTGGGCGAATGCCCGGGGTGCTGCCTATATTTTTAAATCGATTAAATAAAAAATACGAATCATTCTTAAAAAAATAAAAAAAATAGAAGAATAAAAAATCGATTGAAAGGACAGAAAGTGAGTTATTACACATAAATCTATGTCCAGATTTATAACTTTTAATTTACAACATTTAACTTATGCCCGGGTTTACATAAATCATAAACCAAGATCTACAACAGAAGAATAAAAAAAAAATCATCCTTAAAAAATCAAATTTCTTTCATGACAGCTTATTTTTTCTCTGTTGTAGAAAGGGATTGATTGATAATTGATGTCAGATTTTAAGTAATTGATTTAAAGACCCGGGTGTAAGAGAGGAGCGGAATGGAAGAGATTTTTAAAATTGGAGATTGTGAAAAAATTACTGTGTTTCAATTGATTTTAGGGGATTTCCTTACATTTAATTTTATCAATTAAATATTGTTGTTTTAAGAGATTAGTATATACCTATAATTAAGAGATTTTTATGTAGCTATAATTAAGGGATTTATGTATTTATCTATTCCATCTTTGTTTTTCTAATTAGTTAGAATGCCACGTGTCAAAAATAATTTTGTACTGAAAATGGCTTTTGGCGGAAAAATTTTCATTGTAGTGTTAACACATGTTCTTTTTGTTTGCTGCTTTAATTAAGTACTATAGATAAATTTGCGAATTTCGATATTTATGTTTAGGACATATGCCAAGCTTATTGATAATAATGTTATATAATGGTCTCACTATTCTAAATTCGTGAGTTTATCACTTTGAACTTCTTGAAGTAGATTAGAAATTTGGAAACAATCCAAAAAGCAAAACAAGAAAGGAGGGAGAAAAAAAATGGCCCATTGTAAAATAATAAAGAATGTAAAGTTTGAAATGGAAAATACTAGACCTCGGAAAATTCATATTGTCAGACAAAATCAAAGCAAAGAGGCCAACTCCATAAGAGAACACAAGCAATCTTCCAATGGCTGGTTGAGTGTTACACCATTGTACTCTAGGTTTACTATCCCTTCCTATGTACTACAGACGGTTATGATTTATTCTCTGTATATTTTCCTTGCAAGTTTTTTCTATAACAATTATTATTAAAAAGAAAGGTTAAAAATTTGGAGATGACCTGAAAACACATTATAAGTGAAACATATAAGATGTTGTCGTGTATATTTAAAGTTGTTTGGAAGATGGTGAATGCTAATTTACTTTGGTTCATTTGAATGCTAATTTTCGTGATGCATTAATTTTACTCCAACTAATAAAATTCCTAAAAGTTTAATCTTATAAGTAATAATCAAATCAGTTAAACAGAACACGCCAAAAATTTAATTAAAATTTATTCGTTCATCTACCATATAGTAGTTGAACGATCTGAAAATTACATATTTTGATCACTTTATTCCTAGTACAATTAACGTGGTAGCTAATCCAACTCTTAAAGTATTTATATATTGTAATTTGTTAGTTAATGCCACGACAAAATTGATGACCTATACGAAAAGCCTTAATGGAACTAAACGTAACCATAGCCCATGATAATAAAATTATATATGATGACAAAATGAAGAAAGAGAGAAACCACCGACGAACTCGTGAACAAAAAAATATTGACAATCAGATTATTATAGGAGTACAAGCTAAGCATCATCTCATCACTTAACTAAAATGACAATCTGTCAACTATTAGAGATATATAATCATTCTTAACCTACTCAATATTAAACATGGCCTTAATGTTGTCGGAGCCATGAATTTTACATGTATATATCACACTCAAATGAACTCATTCAATTTTGATAAATATTCGTTCCTTGACTGTAACACATAATTGAAACTGAGAAACTGAGAATACAAACAGAGCTATGTCGTCTCATATTTATCTTAACTAGTCTGTTTTCACTAAAAATCAAATAGCAACAAAATGTAATGAAAGAATATCGCAATTGATAATTTTTTGCCTGTCTTATATTAATGTCTGAGATAATGATAGAAGATAATTACCTAATAACACAACCAAATCATTTATGTCCACCAATTAACACTTAACTACCAGTGTATACGTACACAAAATTAATGTTAGCAAGTTGGTCTCTCTCTTTCTTTCTTTCTTTCTATCCCGAATATGCTGCTTATTCAATCATTTTTTTAGTAGCAACCCTTAATATGTGTCTCTCATTTTGAACAAGACTTTTCCACTCATTTTCACTAACAATTTCCTCCTTTTTAACTGACTCATTCCCATCTCCTCAAACTCCACGAACACAATCAAACATCTTTTTTTCCTTCTTCTCCTTCTTAATCTCCCCGAAATTAAACAATAAGAAAAAAAATGTCGGAATCGGGCAAGAAGCCGCATGCAATAGTAATAAGCTACCCGTTACAAGGGCATGTGATACCCGGGGTTCATCTGGCAATAAAGCTAGCATCCAAAGGTTTCACAATCACCTACATCAACACACAGTACGTACACAACCAGATCACGACCGGAGACAAGACCGTCAACGGGCAAGGCGACATCTTCGCCGAGGTCCGGAAAAGGGGGCTCGACATCCGTTACACCACCGTCTGCGACGGGCTCCCCTTGGATTTCGACAGATCTCTCAACCACGACCAGTTCTTTGCTTCTTTGCTGCATGTCTTCTCCGCTCACGTCGAAGAAGCGGTGAAGAAGATCCTCAAATCGGGTCCTCCGGTTGATTGTTTGATCGCGGATACGTTCTTCGTTTGGCCTGGATCGCTGGCTAAGAAATATGGACTTGTTTATGTTTCTTTCTGGACCGAACCCGCCTTGGTTTTTTCCTTGTATTATAATCTCGATGTCCTGAGGTTCAACGGCCACTTCGGTTGCATAGGTAATAATAATTACCCATTCCGTTCTAAAATAATTGTCCAATTTAGATTTTTATTTTTAACTTAAATTATACGACAAGTAAAACTACAAACCGAACAATAATTTTAAAATAGAAGTACTACTTAAATTTTTCCATCCCTTTACTTGAAATATACAAACATCCTTACTTTGTTTTGTTTCTTTGTGTACCGATCATATTTTGTTAGTGTACTAGCTTAGATCTTGGAATTAATGAGTAAACTTTAGTTTAACTTTTAAACTAAATAATGTTGTTTTATTGATTGGACAAATATGATACTCCCTTAATATAAGGCATTTTGATTTGTCCTAAGTTTAACCTAATACGCATTTTTAATTGACACAAAAACCTTAAAAATATTTCATAATAATCGAGAAAATCTAACGAATATGAAAATATACTTTTAAAATTTTTTCGTCAATTAAAAATGCGTGCTAGGTGAATCTTAAGATAAATCAAAATGTCTTATATTAAGGACCATGGCAGTACATGCCTATAACTAATTTGCATGATCTACCTTTAATTTGTTCTTTTTTCGTACAATGTTTTTTCCCGTTTTAAATTTTGAAGCAATTTAGAGTCGAGCTTTTGTGGTATACAAAGAAGCAACTTTGTTATGCATTTTGTTAAAAAAATGTCACTATGCAGGATGAGCTTTGCAATCAATTACTTATTTCTTTTCTTTTTTTTTTGGTTTGGGTTATGAAGCAATCATATTCATTAATTATGTACTTATCATCATTAATTAGTAGAATATACTTATTTGTTCCCGTGTGGGGTCGTGGTATCTGACTACTATCAACAAAATTCACAAGTTGTACTAAACATTAACAAATATACCTTAAGTTACTTCAATATAGTCACTGTCTTATCACCTCAAGAAATTTAGATTGATTTGATGCATAGAGCTAGAAGCCTAGAACATTGGTTAGTTATAATGATGCGGCTAAATTATTTTCTCTCAACTTTGCTTAACTTTTTTTTCCCTAATTACTTCAGGTACTGTCACTTTGATCCATTTGCATGATAACAGTCTATTACCCTATTCCATCCAACAAATTAGAAGTAAAGCACAAGTAAACTAATGTAACTTGTTCCTTACAGTAAAAAGACTCGAATAAAATTATTTAGACCTTACTCAAAATCGTGTATACTTTGATTAATTCTCTTGGTTTTTTAGAGATTCGAACTTATTAACATGTAATGTAATATTGTGTCACATTCTTGATTGATCATACTCTATAGATGGCTGTCATTTTATTCCTATATTGGTTTGATAATTGATACCTGCTTTGAAATTGGATTATTTTTTTTTTCTTGTGATGAAACTAGACTTGAGAGAAGACCCGGTTGACTACCTGCCCGGAGTCGGACCGATCGAACCGAAAGACTTGCCGTCATACGTACAAGAAATGTACCCAACCTCAGTGGTTCACCAAATCATCTTCAAAGCCTTCAAAGACGCAAAGCAAGCCGATTTCGTGCTCTGCAACACCGTCCAGGAGCTCGAGTCCGGCGCCATCGCCGCCCTGAACAAGACGAAGCCGTTTTATGCCATCGGGCCCATCTTCCCAACCGGGTTCACCAAGAGCTGCGTCGCCACCAGCCTCTGGTCCGAGTCCGACTGCGCCCACTGGCTCGACACCAAACCGCCCGGTTCGGTTCTCTATGTCTCCTTCGGCAGTTACGCCCACATGAAAAAAAACGATTTGCACGAGATCGCTAATGGGATTCTAGAAAGCCAAATCAGCTTCGTTTGGGTGCTCCGACCCGACATCGTCAGCGCCGAGGACCAAAACCCGTTGCCGGACGGGTTCCGGGCGGCTTCCGGCGAACGAGGAATGATTATCCCCTGGTGCTGTCAAATAACCGTGTTGAATCACCCGGCGATTGGCGGGTCCTTGACCCATTGCGGGTGGAATTCGATTCTGGAAAGCATCTGGTGTGGGGTCCCGTTGCTCTGTTTTCCTCTGCTGACGGATCAATTCACAAACCGGAAACTGGTGGTGGATGATTGGAAGATCGGAATGAATCTGTGTGACCGGGTTCTGGTCACCTCCGGCGAGGTTTCTCGCAAGGTCAAGTGTTTGATGAGTAACAAGTCTGACGAGTTGAAGAAGGGAATCAAGAGAATGAAGGATCAAATGGAGAAGGCATTGGGAAAAGATGGATCGTCGGAGAAGAATTTGGATCAATGCATTGCGGAATTGACGGCCACTATTGAAAAGAAAAAGGGATCAGTTGCCGGAGGTTAATTTGGATTTGATCCATATATTTGACACTTCTTCACCTTACTCAATTGATTTCTTCATAGTGCACTTGTGTTTTTTACAACTGGAAAGTTTTGAATAATAATTAGTTTGTGTTGGACCCGATGCACGAAGTCATTACTCTGAATAATCTGAATTCGGGAATAATTAGTTTGGTTAGTCTGTTCATGAGTTGTAGTACTTCAAATTTTTAGAAACCTTATTGGGTGTGTGCATGCATGTGTATGGCTCTGAACATTGTGTTAAATAATTAGTTTTTCAAATAATACTATATATATTTTTGGCCAATTTTGGTTATATATGTGACGTATGAATGAAAAATGTTGTCACTTTCTTAATTGTGTCAAGTCAATTATGTTTTTCGATTATTAACAAAAAAAAAAAGGGTAAATAGGAGCACGCTCTGAAAGAAATTTAGACAATATAATAACCGTTGCAAGCTAAAGAAATACTGTAACACAAGACTCTCATCGCGAATGTAATCGATCCTATTTTGGTTTTAGAATTTTAAAATATAAAATATCAAGCTTTCTTTTTGTTGTATAATTGGTTTATAGTTTGACAAAATTGAATATGACAAAAATGCAGTCATCAGATCAAATCTGACCAGATCTAGTTTTGAGACACGAGACCATTATCCCCTTTCATTATTTTAAGTTGTTAGCTATCAACAATTCCAAGCGATCTTTTTTCATGAATAACACTAACATCTACGTTTTGACGTTTAAGTATGTCCATTATCCACCTCCATTGACACTCTGCCTATCATTTCCGATCTTCTAAGCTAATAGAAAGAGAGGGAATTGATTCGTTGTAAGTCGCAAAAAAATGGGAAGCAAACAACACCAAAAGCCTCATGTGATCTTGTTAAGCTTACCACTATTAGGCCATGTTACTCCATTGGTCCACTTAGCTCTCAAACTTGCATCCAAAGGCTTTACCATTTCCTTCATTGCCTCTCTTTCAATCCACCACCAGATCACAGCCACTGCCAAAACCAACCGGACTGAAGATATTTTCTCCGCTTTTCAGGATCTGGGACTCGACATCCATCTCACCACCGTGTCCGATGGCCTTCCTCCTGATTTTGATAGGTCAAACAACGGAGAACAGTTCGCGGTCGCCATCATGCGGGTCTTCCCTACGCACGTCGAAGAGGCGGTTAAAGAGATCATCGATTCAGGTCCTCCAGTGAGTTGTTTGGTTGCTGATACTTTCTTATCTTGGGCACAGAGTCTGGCAAAGAAGCATGAACTTCTTTATGCTTCTTTCTGGACAGAAGCAGCAACCGTTTTTACCCTTTATTACCATATGGATCTTTTGAGTTCAAATGGCCACATTGATTGCAAAGGTAAAACTCCCATCACTCAACAAAAGAAGGTAAAACTATAATCAATTTGGACTAAAACTGTTTACTGATCAGACAGGCGGGAGGATGTGATCGACTACATTCCGGGTGTTGAATCATTTCCACCCAAGGACTTAATGTCAAATTTTCAACAGGCAAGTCCAATGGTGCCAGGGGAAAGAGCTCTCTACAAGGCGTTAATCATAGGTGTGAAGTCAGCAGATTTTGTGCTCAGCAACAGCATACAAGAGCTGGAACTCCAACCAACACTAGCCCTACAACAGAAATTGCCATTTTTCGCTATCGGACCTTTGCTTGATTCTGATTACAAGAAGGAATCTGAGCCTGACTGTTGTACTTGGCTTGACAGCAAGTCTCCTGGCTCAACTTTGTATATCTCGTTTGGAAGCTATGCCCATGTTAGTAAATCCGACATTTCTGCCATAGCTCACGGTCTTAAATTCAGCCAAGTCTCGTTTGTTTGGGTGCTTCGTCCTGATATCGTGAGCCCTGAAGATACTGATCCATTGCCTGATGGGTTCAGAGAAGAGATTGGAGACCGCGGCATAATTATACCATGGTGTTCCCAGAAAGAAGTTCTGAGCCACCCTGCCATTGGGGGTTTTCTAACTCACTGTGGCTGGAACTCGATTCTGGAAAGTATTTGGTACAAGGTACCATTGTTATGCTTTCCGCTTGTTGCAGACCAACTCCCGAATCGAAAATTAGTGGTTGATGATTGGAAGATAGGGATGAATCTATGCGACAATACGGCGGTTACTGAGAAGGAAGTTTCTGAGAAAATTAACCTTCTGATGAACAGGGAGGATGATGAACATAATAAGCTCAGAGATGCAATCAAGAAACTGAAGACTACACAGGAGAAGGCCCTGGCTGGTAATGGATCAGCAGTTAAATACTTGGGTCAGTTCATCCAAGAACTTCATCTAGCAAGTCCCAAAAATTATCAGGTTTAATGCAAAAAAGTAAACTCTCTCTTAGTTTCACATTGAACAACTATTCAAATAAGCATTTCTCATTCGAGATTGATGCATGTAACCATCAACTTGTTATTCAATATTGTGACGTGATGTTAAAAAAATACAAATAGATTAACGAAATGACAAGAGTGCTGCACATAAGATCAAATCTGACCAGATCCACTTCAAACAATGATTCATGAAACAACCACTTCCATTTTTTAAGTTAGCCATCCACAATACAAACAAACCTATTCAGTCCATGTCTATTTTCACCTCCATTGACAATCTTGATATCAGTTCAGATCATTGAACTTGAGCTAAACAGATGAAGAGAGATAATTGATTCATTGAAGTTGAAAATAATGGGTAGTCAACACCAAAAGCCGCACGCGATCTTGCTAAGCCTACCACTAGTAGGTCATGTTACTCCATTAGTCTACTTAGCAATCAAACTTGCATCAAGAGGTTTTACCATTTCCTTCATTGCCTCTCACTCAATCCACCACCTGATAGCATCCAAAGCCGAAAACAACATATTCTTAGAATTTCAAGATCCAAGGCTTGACATTCATTATATCTCCGTGCCTGATGGTCGTCCGCTTTACTTTGATAGGTCAAACAATGAAGAAGAGTTCATAACCGCCATTATGGAAGTCTACCCAGTCCATGTCGAAGAGGCTATTAAAGAAATCATCGATTCAGCATCTCCAGTGAGTTGTCTTATTGCTAATAGTTTCTAGTTTGGGCAGGGAGTCTAGCAAGCATGAGCTTCTGTTTGTTTCTTTCTGGACAGGCAGTTACTGTTTTTAGCCTTTACTACCATATGGATCTTTTGAGGTCAAATGGTCACTTGGATTGCATAGGTACATTCTGTCAATTAAAAATCTTTCCTTTTTTCTCTCTTACATACATTTATCACAGAAGGTAAGACTAGAATCTTAGTACTGTAGTTCTTTGACCTGATCAGACAGGAGAGAAGATGCAATTGACTACATTCCAGGTGTTGAATCCTTTCCAGCTAAGGGTTTAATGTCAAATCTCAAACAACAAGGCCTGATGACTACAGAGGAGAGGATTCTCTACGATGCATTAATGGTAGGAATAAAGTCAGCCGATATTGTGTTTGCCAACAATGTGCAAGAGATAGAACTCCAGCCAGCTATCGCCCTAAAACAAGAACTGCCTTTTTTTGCTGTCGGACCCCTGATTGGATCTGGGATCAAGAAGAGGTATGAGTCCGAATGCAGTAATTGGCTTGAAAACAAGCCTCCCGGCTCAACTTTGTACATCTCATTTGGAAGCTATGTCCATGTTAGTAAAACTGATATTGCAGCTATAGCTAATGGTCTTAAACTGAGCCAGGTACCTTTTTGTTTAGATACTTCGGCATGACATTGTGAGCCCAGAAGATGCTGATCCATTGCCTGACGGGTTCAGGGAAGAGATATGTGACCACGGGTTGATCATACTGTGGTGCTCCCAGAAGCAAGTTCTGAATCACCCTGCCATTGGGGGGTTTCTCACTCACTGTGGTTGGAACTCGAGTCTGGAAAGCATTTGGTACGAGGTACCGCTGCTGTGTTTTCCAATCCTTGCAGACCAATTCACAAATCGGAAACTAGTGGTTGATGATTGGAAGACGGGGATAAATCTTTGCGACAACACGGAAGTTACTGAGAAAGAAGTTTCCGAAAAGATTAACATCCTTATGAAGGGGGATGGCAAGAATAAGTTCATCAATGCAGTCAAGGAACTCAAGAATACAATGGAGACAGCATTGGCAGATGACAGATCGGCTCCAAGAACTTCATCGAGCTATTCAAATGAAAGCTCAAGTTAAATCAGAAAACTAGACTCTCTTAGTTTTGTGTTGAATAAGTGGTCAGTCAGAATCCTAAGCACCCTGATTATGATTAGCTGTATGGACAAGTCTTTTTCGTGTTTTTCATTTCCAGAACAAGATATCAGCTTATGGTCTTCTTCTTGAAATAATGAGGAATCAGATATCAGCATCAGCGTGTGGTCTTTTCCTTGAAATAATGAGGTTCTATTTCCAAATATCATACTCCCTCTATCCCAAAATTATTGTTGAGTTCAGATTTTCACTTTTAGTTTAATTTGTACTGAAAATGAAAATCCAAACTGAACAATAATTTCCGGACGAAGGGAGGATACCATAACACAAAATGTATTAAACTATAATTTTAGTGAAACAACAGCATTTCACTAATCAGGTATAGTAGGTACTCGAAAAGAGACTGAAGATCTAATATACTCTACCCAAGTGTCATGAAGTTGTCCAGATATTTGTCTTTTTAAGCCCACAGAATATTGGGAAATAGAAGAAGCAGAACACAGTTACTGAGATTATATCCATTATCTAGAATTTTTAACATCTTTGTTACACCAGGAAAATCTACAAGCAGGGAACTTCTTGCTGAAACAAAATTGTAGCAATAAAAATACAACAACGCGAAGCCCGACAGACATAAGAAACAGAACTAGTAAGTTTTCCCACTTTGAGCTACTGTCGGCAGATATGTCATACACATTTCTCAGAGCTTGATAACCAGTTATAGTCCTTACCTGCCCAACTGCGTAGGAGGTTCCATGATACTCATTCTCCAACAGCCCCTGAAGACAAGAGAAAAATATTAAGGGTCCTTTGTCTTAAATTTACTGTTGATTTTTTGATCATCTTGATATGATATTAAAAAGAAATCAGCTTGCCTGAATAGAGTAAGTGTGAAATGACACATAGGACATGGGATACATCCAAACTGGCTTAGGTAAAGCACTTCGAATTCTTAGATAACCAGCTGAAAGCATCATTACCACCTGCGACACAAGAACCCTTTTCTTATGCTGGAAACAATAAAAAAAGATGACATGAACAGAATACATGCGCAAAGAACTGCACCTCCTTTAGTTAAAGAACAGCTATACGGATGCTTTCCTAGTAAATAGAGAGTAACTTGATTTGTATCAAATTGGAACTTAGCTAAGTTTACGATGATGCAATTCAATGATGTGGAGCAAATGCATTCTAAAGCCTGATTTCTAATGTTAAGTCGTGAATAAGGACGAAAAAGACTATGGAAGAAAAATTTATAAATTCAGGGAACCACTTCCGATAGTAACACGTGCTAAAACAGACAAGAGGAAAATACAGGTCAGGGTATAGTAGAACTCACATGTATAGACACCAATGTTAGGATGCTCCAGTACACCTCTTGCCAAATGGAAACAATTAGCAGGACTAGGCCTTCGTTTAGCATAAGGCACATGAAGTAATTTAGGACAAAATACATTAACAAGCTGAATTCATTCCGTAGCCCTACGAGAAAGTAGAAGACCAGGCTTGAGGAAACGGAGATGAGAAACAGGAATGGAATGCTGGAAAGAAGTTGCCCAAGTAAGAAAACCAATGTCCCAGAGTGCATATTTGATTCTTCACAGGAATATATCTGCATGACATAAAATAATGGATCAGTTGACAGAGAGATGAGGACATGTATTTTCTAACTCACATTAGACACCAAAGGAAGGTAAATGACGTGAGGCCCAATGAAACTTGAGAAAATTTCTAGCAGCTTCATGATCATCAGACGTAATAACCATTAGGCCATTACCTTAATTTCTTTCAACTGAGGTGGTACTCCAGCAATGCATAGAAGTGAGTTGAATGACACAAACACAAATATCGCCGCAACTCTTGTCTACAATTTCAAAGAAAACCACTGCTTAATGCTTGGACACAGGAAAGGAATGACAGTAAACCAAGAGACATTTCATGCTATTTATCAGGTTCATGCATATAGAAGTGAAATTTGTCAAACTTACCCCAACAGAAGACAAGGAATGACCCAATCCAGAAAATACAGTTGCAATACAAAGTGTAAGGAGCATGTAAAGAATCAACCGCAACCAATAGTACTTCCATTCCCTTGACATGATCAACAACGATCTCCAAGTGAGAACTGCTATTCTTGTGAGATTGCTAGCTTTTCCCTTGCTTTTGAGTGACGGACCTTCCTGCGATAAAGTCAATGAAACTTCATTTAACATAAAGCAAATATCCCATTGATAGAGAACTAATAATGAGAAAATTTTTTAATCAAGCATCTCCTGAAATGATTGTTGCTGAATACCCCACTACATTGGACTAAAGCATGTTTGCTAATTAAAGTATAAACCAACGATTATACCTTCTCGGTAAGCTTTACTATCATAGTCTCAACAGCTGCCGCATCTGCTGATGACTTATAAGTGGCTTCAAGTGTGCGTATTGCAACAGCAGTATCCATGTTTACAGACGAGAGATCTCCATGATCATCCTGTACAAATGATCAAATTAAAACCGACGCAAGCGGGTAGCATAAGATCAACAGATGTATTGCCCTGTTTAAGTATATGTATATGCATATGCCTACGAAATGTAGACAAGTAGAGGGGATGAAAACAAAATACATCATTTCATTATTTGGTTTAAACTAGAGAAAGTGCTTTTGAAAGGATTATTCTTCATTTAAAACCAACATTACGAGTAAGCTTGTAAGGTATGAAAAAAATAATTGAGTTGCAGTTGAAGGATAATGTATCCTCTAACAAATGTACCTGCCAATTTTTGCACATTGCAATGATTCTGTCAAAGTCTGTATTTATTGCGCGAAGAAAGTGATCAGAGGGACTTTGCATAATCGGGCAAGGAAATCCAGCATTTGAAAAGTGCTGCAGCCACAACAAAAGCAATAGTCAATAAAGACTGTAAGAAATTGTTTTATGGTACACTTCTGAAAGCACAAATATGCATATGAATCAATTATAAAGGCAGTAGTCAACTAGTTTCCTTAAATGACCTGAGGAAACAAATATTGTAACAATGGTACTGTCTTTTAGCCACCATTACCCTTTCAGTAAACACTATCAAAAGCTCTTCTTTGTTTTTCCCTTATAAATTCTTATACTCAAATCCTCTTCTGTAAATTCACATAAACTAAAACTATTCCTATTCCAGAATGTGTTCCAACATATTTACTGCAACAACCCAAACAGAATTTTTTGTCAGCTGAAGTTACTCATTTGTTTCAGGTGTTCTCTTGAAAATACAGTAAACCCAGTAACGTCCAGCAAGTTCTTCAGCTTTCTGTACCTCAAGTTCAGACCAAATCTAATTTCATAGTTGTAACTTGTTAAACACAATAGACGACTTCTACATTAAATCTAGAACGATCCTTTCCATGCATTACCTGCAAACAAGCCAAAGTTTCACCAAAGAATAATGTGTTTCCATTTGAAAGGAGACATATTCTGTCAAAAAGGCCAAATACTTCTGTGCTGCTCTGGTATATGGTAAATATAAGCGTGCAACCCGTGCCAGCAAGTTTCTTCAATGTCACCATCATAAGAAGCGCAGAGACACTGATCCAGCAAAAAAAAAAAGAAAAAAAAAGAAAAAACAATTAGTAATGTAGCATATCCATATCATAATCAGCGAAAGAGATCAAAAGACACCATGATCATGACAAAACTGGCCATCGGTGACTACAGAATTTAACCAAAACAAATGACTCGATATCGTTAGCTCTGGAATTGGTGTTTTCTGATAAAAACTGTGCTGTTGTGGCTCAATATCTTTTAACAAACCTGTCAAGATGATAAAGGGGCTCATCAATAAATAGGACATGGGGTCTCATTACAAGTTCTCTGGCAATGCTGACACGCCTCCTTTCACCACGAGGAAGACCCTTCGTATAGCAGTGACCACCGATGAGTTTATCTGCATAATCACCCAGTGACATAGCAAGAATGGCATCCTCCACCACACTCCTTTTCTGCCAAAAGAATCCAGGAAGCTGAAGCAAAGCTGAATAGTAGAGAAACTCGCGCACTGTCAGGGATCCAATAAGTGCGGTTTCTCTCTCAACGTATCCCTGCAAGTGGAGAGAATTGAGTACCCAATGAAACCACCTTCCGAAAATATAACTATAGACATCATGTAAGTCTCCTAATGAACCTTTTCTTTTGCACTAAAACACAAATCACCTAATTAAAAGCAACATAATTTAGTAATCCATACAATTATACACTCGGATTAGCAGAAACAATATGTATGCAGAATAGGAGACGTACATAAGATGCATATTCCAAGTGTGATTTTGAACCATTCACGAAAACCTCACCATACATCCTAGCCGAATCGGGCAACCGTCCTGAATTAGATAGAACCAGGACAAAATATTCAGTTAAAAAAGAATGAAACTAAAACTTACATCGAAATCGAATGATAGCTAAATCTGACTTCATTATACCTGCAAGGGCTCTCAAGAGGGTTGATTTTCCAGACATTGCAGGACCCATGATCACAGTCATTGTTCCTGGTAATGCGTAACCATTTGAGTTCTTCACTACCTTATCAGAGTATTTCCTCTTGCCCTTAATGGTAACAGTCAACTCTTTCCATGCAAGTGACGCCCCTGCAATCTTTCTTGCAACGACAGCTCGGTCTGGTAGTTGTGGTGATGGCAATGAACCACTATTAAGCTTTGAGAGAGAAGGAGAGGCGGGGGTAGTTGCTGCATTAATGGAGTCACCTCCTTCATCCACTCTAACTTCAATATCTGTGTCCTCCCAATCTGGAGAATCCTCAAACGATATCGGCTGTCTAAACGCACCAGGTTTCCGCAGGTAGAAAAAATTGCTGGAAGGAACCCTACTAGCTGGACTGCTAGCCGAAGATGATGACGACCTATATTGATCTGATTGGGACTGTATTTCTTCCATCTTCAGTATTCAATTAATTCTAAGCTAATCAAACTGCACCATCATCCGATCACAAATCCGATATTCCTTTCATAGCTCTCCAAAAAAAAAAAAAACCACCATACTCCTTCCTTGCGCAATAAAGAGATGCTGTTCTGCAGCAAGAATAAATATTGCTTTTTTCAAATAAGTTTACAAAAGGAAGAAACTCCAAATTAAAAAATTTGAAAGTAGCAGGAAACAATATCTCATTTGAACATCCTTTAGCTTCCACATATAAAGGGACTTAGCAAGCATGGTAACAATTACAATGTCAACTCCAGAAGGTTCCCATCAGTAGAAGTAAAACCTTTAGCCCTTCCCCAAACAACAAAGAACGCACAACACATTCAGCTCATTTCCCAAGGAGGTACCATAAAGCTCAGAACTGTACTCCACCTAGATATTCCATTTTCATATTTTGGAAGGAAACCAGCTACTTTCTGCTAATAACACTGTACTAACCAAAAAGTTCAAACTGAAACAAGCTCAAGAACTGCAGATAGTAACAATGACAAGAAGGAGTATGTAGTTTTTTCACAAACCATATCAAACTCCCTCCAGCTAAAACCCAGCTATTCATTTTATCAAGAACAGTATTTTGCATACCCCAAAAGCTACAACAATAATTATCACAAAAACGTCTCAAAATCGGTTGAAACAACATAGAATCAAAGAGAATAAACAATGAGGAAGAAAGCAGAGAACCAACCTGGATCTGAAGTGATTGGTGAAGAAGCTCAATCGAAAAAACTCAAGAGAAAAGTGTAATGCTCAAGTGCAGAGTGGGGAAGACATAAAAGAGAATGAGTAAAGGAGTACTACTGTCTCCAGAAAAACGAAAAGAGAGAGAGAGAGAAAAAGAGCAGTAGCGAGTGAGAGAGAGATACTGAACTAATTACCAGTGAGAGAGAGATAAGAACTTTATTCTATATTTTAACCATGCTTCATTAATCATTATTATGCTCAAATTCAACATTTTGAATCCATTAACTGAGTATTTGAGTTAACTAGAATACTTCCATTTTCAACTTTTGGTTTTCAGTATTTTAATTTTTTTTGTTTTTTGGTTTGCTGTTTGCATGATTGGTGGCACTACGCGGATATCCGAATGCCAACTCATCCTTAAATCCCAGAGTATAAAGATTGCAAAATATGGTCAAAAAGGGTTTAACTTTATCCCTTTCATCTCCATTTCTATTAACATTTAACACCCCATTTCACTTTTCTCTGGAATTTTTACATGCTGATATAAGCAAGGCTAATGGGTACCAGTTTCCTGAAGCTTGAAGAATTTTTGTGTTTCATAGAGAATGAATCAAAGAAGTTGAATTTATCAACAAGATACACATTATAAGTGTGTCCAATGAGGGGAAATGGAGATTGGGACAAAAAGGGAAAGAAGTTGCTTAAGTACAAACTAGTTTCCAATATTGCAGCCTTAATACAAGCAAATCAATTGCTTGGTTGGATGACATATCCAACCCCATTTTTATGCATGAAATGGAAAGCGTATGTCCCCCTCAATTGCGTAGAAAGATCCAACATTTTCCTATGAATTGGACAATTTTTGGCAAATCATGCATAATTGATTCTACTGTATAACAAAATTATCACGGTTTTATCTTATTGTCGAATTTTTCAATTATTAGAATCAATCTTTCTTCTTTCTCCCTTTCCCCCTTTCCAAATCTCGGCGTAGCCAAGCAGAAAAACTCGCCCTTTAGTTTAGACATTGTCCTTTTGTTTTGCAATAGCAAGTTTTGGATTTCTTTTGTTTTGCAGCTGAATTCTCATTTTCAGTACAATTTATAATATAAAAGAGATCTTAAACTAGACAATAATTTTGGGACGGAGAAACTAATTGCTAAAATCTTCCCTTAGTCTCTTTGTTCGTCGGATTGCTACTTAAACACAATTCACTACAAAGGGATTCAGCTAAAAAAAAGAACATATTCAGCACCAAATGATGAGTTATGGGGAAAACAAATCAGGTGTAGATCAAGGATCGAGATGGCTTTGTGAACCGTTCAGCTCTATAAGGATAATGTACTTTTAATCAACGTCCAATTTGTTGGACGAAATTGGTAAAAGCAACAGCCATCATTGCAATTAGCGTGCTTTTTATAGCTTTTGACGTGTATAATAATAATTCTCTAATGCTTGAGCTTGAAGATTTTCATCAAAATTCAACTTGTCTGACAAGTGTGACTTACAATTAACTTAATTATTAAACTGTGCCAAACGCATGATGAGTTTAAGATTTACAGTTTATTCATGCTTAATTATATAGTGGGTTGCTATTTACCGTCCACTAAATTACTCACCCCGTCCAAATAGGACAATTTGCCCCTCTGAGCTTGGAAATTCTTGTTTGGATGATGGTTTATTTTAATTTTTAGTTTAGTTTTTTATTTGAAATTGAAATGTGATTTAAAACGTGTTCTGAAAAAAGTTTTAAAAATTATTTGAATAGTATTTTTATTAAAATAATATTATTTTTCTATTATCACCGAACCACCTCTGCCTTCGAGCCCCCTTCCTCCACCACCAGACTATTGCCGGCGGCCGGTCGGCCGGTAGAGGATGGCGACCCGGCGCGGAGGTGGGTGGTCCGTGGGGGAGGACGACCCAACGGCGTAAGTAGGTGGTAAAGGTGGTCTAATGGTGGTGGATAAAAATTGTATTAAAATAATATTTGAAATTATTTTTAAAATGTAAGTTAAAATATTGTTTGGATAGTGTATTGAATTTTGTTTTTAAGAAGAAAAATGAGACAAAAGATAAAATGAGAAACTATCCAAACAAGCTCCAGATTTTTTGAAACTTAAACAGTTTCAAACTCAGATTTAGAGCAATTAGAAGCTTGAAAAACGGAGGATCGGTGCAAAGTTGTAGCAAAAGGTTCGAACTTTCAGTTAAGGATTTTGTTTAAGTATGCAATTATCATGTTTTCATTCTATTAAAAAAATTATAATAGTATGGCTAAGGCTGTAATGAACTTTCTTGATATAAAAATAATAAAATTTTCACATTAATGATATCGGACACTGGGTGTGTAATATACTAAAAAATAATAATAATAAAATTTTGTATTTTCTTACTTATAGGAAAGAAAAACCTCATTAAATTAATAAAATTTAATTTCTCAATAAATAATATTATTTTATCAATAAATTAATAAATTTTTAGAAATTTACTGTATTAGTATGCGGTTGAAACCGAATGTTTCTTTTATATTCAACTATCATCTCTCTCACATTGAGTTTTGAGATTTGTATATTTTTTAGTATAAATTTAGAAATTTATGTATTTAATTTTTTTGAGACAGTGGTAATACAATTTATTAACACATATATTCTCCTGTTAGCAATTGAACAATTCTCATCCAATTTTAAGAAAGTTTATTTCAAAAATACAAAATAGAAAAGAAAGTTTTTTTTTTCATATTTCTAGTGTGTTTACCGTCAAAAGTTGATAATATTTTTTTATTAAAAAAAAATGGACGAAAACATATGCATTGGACATCTGGAGTCTGGACATACTGTATCATAAACGTGGTATAATCCGGGCCTGATCATCACCTATGGACCAAGGCTACACAAGATGCCAAATATAGATGGGCCAAACCCATTTACTAAATAGAAATTTCATATCACAGTTTATAGGCTTTATAAAAATTTTATTTATAAAATACTTATCCCTCTAAATTGTTATTGAGTATTGCTAAACGTAACTTAATTTTATTTTACACAGCTTAAAAAAAGACTTGAATACCTCTAAACATCTATTTTTTGCTTTTCTTTATTTCTCTCTTTTCCTTATTAAACGCAGATTGATTTTGCTTACGCAACTTATAAAAAATACTAAAAAAAAATATTTGCCTAGAAACTCAACCTTATGAACACTGAGAACCAAAAGATTGGGAAGACGACTTTTGAATGTTGAGATGAAACCTACTTTTCCTCTAATGTAACAAGCTACGACAATCACCAAACAAATAATTGGTGGCGATCTTCAAAAAAAAAAAAAAAAATTGCCCACAAAATTACTTGTTGGGATGCAATTCCTAATTTTTGCATGTTTCCTATGTTCTTTGATTTTTTTTTCCCCATTGCAGACTATTAAAAATTGGTGAATTTTTGGATGGCATGTTGAAAAAAATTAAGAGATGTGATTTTTTTTTTAAAAAAAAAAGAGAGGAAAAAATAATATAAAAGAGTGAAATGTAGGAGTTTAGAATTTAGGAATATTTTTGTTTTTTTATAAGCTGCATGAATTAAAATCTAGTTACGTTTAACAACCCACATTGTTATTCCCTAAGATAATAATAATTTATTAATCATCTCAGTAAATTAAATAAAATACTAGATTTTTATTGTTCTTTGACTGAAAAATTCACATGTATCCTAAAGTAAGGAGTTAATGTTGATCCTTAAGCTATTACTGCAATGCTTCTTGGAGCTTAAGAAAGAAAAGAAAAAGAAAAAGGAGATTGATTCTCTATTTAAAAAAATAAAATAAAATAAAAGAACAATAAAAAAAGGAAATTTTATTAGTATTTTTAAAATCCTAATCCAGAACTAAATAGAATAGTTCGCCGTAGAATACTACGTAGGAGTAGTATATATAGAGATAATAACTACATTAAAAAAATCTCCAACATCGTATCTTCTTTCTTTTTTTTTTTTCTTTAGTAGTTCAGCTTCTGTTATCAACTCAAATTCTCTGATTCCGTCTCCGATCAAAACTCCGACGATGGATCAACCGGCGGAGTCATCTGACTCGTAAGTTGGAAACTCTTTCTGTGTTTTCCCCGATTGCTGTGTTTTTTATTCGCATCGCCATGTAGTTCTTGAAACCCTAGTGGGGGGTTTTTGAATTTAGTTTGTTTTGATGATGGTTTTTTTTTTTGGCTTCTCGAATTTTTCAGGAAAGGTTCTAAGAAAGACTTCTCCACGGCGATTTTGGAGAGGAAGAAGGCCCCTAATCGCCTTGTTGTTGACGAAGCCGTCAACGATGATAACTCTGTTGTTGCTATGCACCCTGTCACCATGGAAAAGCTGAAGCTTTTTCGGGGAGATACCATCCTACTCAAGGTTTGTATTGATTTTCTCCTTTTGTTTGTGGACTGGGTTTTCACGTTCTAGGGCTTTGTGTACCGCAAACTGTGCGGGGCTTTTGTGATCTGTTTTTGTCTTTTAGGCCTGTTTGTAGCATACAGTTAGCATGAAATTTTAACTGGAGCTTGTTACTTAGATTGAGGTACTATATGATAGTGCTTAGCTTTGTCTGAAAGGAGAATTTCTGGTCAATTTTGAGATTGAATTAATGATTGATAACAAGGTTGTGGTTGAGGATCGAGTGGTTTTTTGGTCGGCCTGTTGCTGTGTGTACAAACATGTAGTGAGGGTATGGAAGAAGGTTTTAAAGTTGTTTGAAAGAACAATAACTGGACAAGAAAAAGCTTCTACTAAGTTCTAGTGATTACTGATATCTCAGGCTCTCGGCTTGCTTGTGTTGTACGGGGCATATTTGATTTGTCTGGTTTTTGCTTGTAGAAGAATTACAGTCACCTCTCTTAGGGTGGTTGTGAACATGAGTGCTGTTCTGTCTGTTTTGCATTATGTACGAATTTACGTTGTCTAATTTTCTTTTATTCCCAGGGCAAGAAAAGAAAAGACACAGTATGCATTGCCCTTGCTGATGAGTCAATTGAAGAGGCCAAGATTAGGATGAACAAGGTTGTCAGAACAAATCTGAGAGTAAGGCTTGGGGATGTTGTATCTGTGCATCAGTGCCCTGATGTTAAGTATGGGAAGAGGGTTCACATTCTGCCCCTTGACGATACTATAGAAGGTCTTACCGGGGATTTGTTTGATGTATACCTGAAACGTAAGCTCTCTCCACCGACCTGTTTTGTTAGTTTCTGCTGTTACTTAGTATTATTTCTGTCTTCTGTTGCCTGTTGCCCTGGGCCTGTCGGTAGGATTGGAAGTCGATTGGTTTTGAGGCATTCATCTTATATTCATTGTTCTCACGTTGATGCTAAAATCTTCCGCGTTTTATGTGGCAGCTTACTTCTTGGAAGCATATCGCCCATTGAGGAAGGGAGACCATTTTCTTGTCAGAGGTGGGCTGAGAAGTGTAGAATTTAAGGTCATTGAGACTGATCCAGGGGAGTATTGTGTTGTTGCCCCTGATACTGAAATATTCTGTGAGGGGGAACCTGTGAGGAGGGAGGACGAGGATCGACTAGATGAGGTTGGCTATGATGACGTAGGTGGTGTCAGGAAGCAAATGGCCCAGATTCGTGAATTGGTGGAGCTTCCTCTAAGACATCCTCAGCTCTTCAAATCTATTGGGGTGAAACCACCAAAAGGAATTTTATTGTATGGACCCCCAGGTTCTGGAAAGACTCTCATTGCTAGGGCTGTTGCTAATGAAACGGGAGCTTTCTTCTTCTGTATTAATGGACCTGAAATCATGTCCAAGCTAGCTGGAGAGAGTGAAAGCAATCTTCGAAAGGCATTTGAAGAGGCTGAGAAGAATGCTCCGTCTATCATCTTTATTGATGAGATTGACTCCATTGCTCCGAAGCGTGAGAAGACACACGGTGAAGTTGAAAGGAGAATTGTTTCCCAGCTGTTGACCCTTATGGATGGGCTGAAAGCTCGAGCTCATGTCATTGTTATGGGGGCCACAAATCGTCCTAACAGCATTGATCCTGCTCTTAGAAGATTTGGTAGGTTTGACAGGGAAATTGACATTGGTGTTCCTGATGAAGTTGGACGCCTTGAAGTCCTCCGCATACACACGAAGAACATGAAACTTTCCGAAGATGTAGGGTCGACATTCTTCACACTCGAACATATTCTGTATAATGCTGAATCGCCAAATCTATGACAGTGTATTAACGTTTTGGGAAAATTTTGTTTCTTTCAGGTTGATTTAGAAAGAATATCAAAAGACACGCATGGCTATGTTGGGGCTGACCTTGCTGCTCTCTGTACCGAAGCTGCTCTTCAGTGTATCAGAGAAAAGATGGATGTGATCGATCTAGAAGATGACACAATTGATGCTGAGATATTAAATTCCATGGCTGTGACAAATGAACACTTCCAAACAGCGCTTGGTAATAGCAATCCATCAGCTTTGCGGGAGACTGTAAGTGATTTGATTAGCTTTGTGAGCTTGGATCTTTAACGTTATTATCCGGTGGTACATCCTTTATTTACTGTGGGGCTGATCATTTCAAATTTATTGTACTTGTGAGCAGGTGGTTGAAGTTCCTAATGTGTCATGGGAGGACATTGGAGGTCTCGAAAATGTCAAGCGTGAGCTTCAAGAGGTAATTTGAGAGATCAGAAAACATATGTTAAATAGTCCTTTGCAGTGTATTGTCAATTTGTAATGATGATTTGTTAAAATGGTTCCATTCTGATTTGCCCTTTTTACCTTTCAGACTGTTCAGTATCCCGTGGAGCATCCTGAGAAATTTGAGAAATTTGGTATGTCTCCTTCAAAGGGGGTCCTTTTCTATGGACCCCCTGGGTGTGGGAAAACCCTTCTGGCTAAGGCAATTGCGAATGAATGCCAAGCCAATTTTATCAGTGTGAAAGGGCCTGAACTGCTTACTATGTGGTTCGGAGAAAGTGAAGCCAATGTTCGTGAAATCTTTGACAAGGCTAGACAGTCTGCACCATGTGTTCTCTTCTTTGACGAGCTGGATTCAATTGCTACGCAGGTACCCTTTTCACCCTATTTGGGCTCTTTTTCCCCTTTTCCTTTGGGTGATTGGGGATTTAATGGGGCTGGCTTGGCTTTCGCTAGTTTTCTACATAGTAACAAGTTGGGTCGTAATACGCAGTAATAAACCAATTAAATTGTTTTGAAAACTGTTTTGAAAGAAAGTGAATACATTCATTTGTGATGGTTCAGATTTGATTTATCTAGTTATAGCTGAAATTGAACTCTATTATATTTTCTTTTGTTTTCCTATGAAGAGGGGAAGCAGTGTTGGAGATGCTGGTGGTGCGGCTGATCGTGTTCTGAACCAGCTTTTGACTGAAATGGATGGCATGACAGCTAAGAAAACTGTTTTCATCATTGGTGCCACCAACAGGCCTGACATTATTGATCCTGCACTTCTCCGACCAGGGCGTCTTGATCAACTAATTTATATTCCTCTTCCTGATGAGGATTCTCGTCACCAAATTTTTAAGGCTTGCCTCCGTAAATCACCTGTCTCCAAAGATGTCGACTTGAGAGCTCTTGCCAAATATACTCAAGGATTTAGCGGGGCTGATATTACAGAGATCTGCCAGAGAGCTTGCAAATATGCTATTAGAGAGAATATTGAGAAAGTAAGTGTGTATAACCATTTTCCTTTTACGATGACTCTTCTTGAATTCTCATTATGTTCCTGCATTCGTTCTCTTCTCTCTAACTATTTCAACTTCTGTGAGCGGTTTTTTTATTTTTTTCACCCTGTACCTTATCTTCTGTTTGGTTGGCTAATCCTTGGATATTGCAGGACCTTGAAAAGGAACGTAGAAGGAGGGATAACCCTGATTCTATGGATGAGGATGTCGAGGAGGAAATTGCAGAGATTAAGGCAGCACATTTTGAGGAGTCCATGAAGTTTGCTCGCAGAAGTGTTAGTGATGCTGACATCCGCAAATACCAAGCTTTTGCTCAGACTCTGCAACAATCTCGTGGGTTTGGAAGTGAGTTCCGATTTGCTGAGACTGCGGCTGGGACAACTGCTGCATCTGACCCATTTGCAAGCTCTGCTGGTGCGGCTGATGAGGACGATCTGTATAGCTAAACATTTTAGTTGTTTGGTTATTTATTTCAAGTTATTATCGATCCTTTTCATGTAAGCTCTTGGGTCACTGGTCCAAAGTCCCTAGACATGTCGTAACTAGGCTTTTGTAAGGTGCTTGCTTACACTGATTTGAGGTCTTAGCTCCTCCGGGAATAGTTCTATTTTAGTGCGATGACGTGCTTTTATTATCCCATATATTTGCCTTTATGGTTCCCGTGCTTTGGTTCTTGAAGTTGAGGAAAGAAAGTAGAAGCCCAGCTAGTGTGAATAAATATGACTAATGCAGTTTATTCATAAGGTGCAAGCCTGAGTCCATCCTTTTGCTTACCGAGTGCCTGAAAGTTTGTTTTGGCTCCAATCTTAGTTTCAATGTATGCTTATTTAATGTCTTCACGGTTTGTTTGTCCCCTGTTTTCAGTTTAAGGCAGGCAGATGAAATACAATGCCAATTTTGTGGTCCTACGTTGTTGTGCAGCTGGTAGTACTTAAGTATAGCATACATCAGAGTTGTTATCATTTAAGAGATGTGGCAGACTTAAACACGTACGGTTACATCCAATCTCATCGGCGTCTATTAGAAAACAGTACGCAATGTTGCGATTTTGCAAAAACAAATTTATTCGTTCTATAAACGGTACTAACTATTACTTGATCAGTTGAATGCATGGGAAGAGCATGTTCTATTCTTAATACGGAAACAAGGAGCTAAGCACATAAGAAGAAACAGGACGGGATGGATTTACACATGGATTTATCTTCATTTCCAAAACCAAAAAAACCAAAAATACTGCCTGATGATGGACTCCCATCGGATCAGTATACATATAGTATTTGGGTTTCATAGTTCATACATTCATGAACTTGAAACAAAATATATCCAACTGAAATTTAAAATGTTCAAGGACTCTTACTCTTAGAGTGGTCGCTGCGTGTTAGGCAAGGGAATGCCCCCAGAGGAAGATAGTTAACATATCGACTTGGAGCCGACGAATGCCTCAATCCCTTAGGCATGCAGTTTCGCACGGTCCTTCCGACAGGAACTCCTTTCCTGTGATTCAAATGTGGTGGATTCATCATGACATATCCTCCACCGCCGTTGTTAGTTTCGTTGAATATGGTTGTACTTGGCGCGCTATACGGGAACTTTCTCGCTGTTGCATCATTCAGGGAAGGTAGCAAAAAGAGCAAAAACACAATGCAGATAACGTGTACAGATGACATCTTTGTAACTTCTTTACTTTCTTTTGAGTTTTGAGTAGTAGAAAAACCTTTGAGACAATTCAATGGTGTTGGGAGAAAAGGAGGAGGAGGGAGGAGGTCCTTAAATAGTAGAAGGGATCCTGATAAATTTATGAATGCGTGTGAGGAGGCAGATGGGATTAATTTGCACAGCTCAGCTGAATTTAGGCACGGATATGTGCACTGTAGATCAGTGATCATCAGTAGACTCTGTAATATTATAGGAGAGAAGTGTGGTCATGAGTTGTTGGAGTTGGGTTGGCCGGTTGGGGCTCTCTGCTTTTGATCTGTGAATGAAATGAAGGTCAGGATGCTCGTGAATTTCTCCCTTAGCACTAAAGTCAAAATCTTTCCCTTCCTATCATATTTCCCTTAAATGTTATGTAATCAGTGTGCATTAACTTCATATTTGATGATTTTAGTGGACATTGACAAATAATGGAAATAATTGCTGATATTGGATAGTCCTGTGTTACATCATATACGTTTATATGTCTATTGCTGATGACAAAAGTTTAGATCTCACTAATTACAGAGATGTAACATTCGGTTCCCTTACAACAGAGCGCCACTGAACTGAAATCGTCCATTATGTGGCCTTCACTAAACGTAAAGTGAGATGGCAGTCAACCCTTCAACAACCACAGGATTTGCAAAGATGAAAAAACCCATGAAAATGATCCGATTTGGGGAACTCTTTTTTGATCTTTAAAGGTGTATTATGCATGTGTTCCTCTTCAATATAGCCTTGACCGCAGTGTCACAATTCTAACTCGAACCACTTGGCAAAATACACCTTAGCAGTACCATTCATTCAAAAGGTTTTGAGGAAATTTCAATTTGAATTAATTAAGGTTGGCCACAACTACCATTGTTGGTGCAACTTACAAGCGTGTTACTAGTTTTTTTTGTTGAGATTGAAGTATAGTCCAACTGCGTGGTACTTTTGCAAGTTTTTGGTGAAATCAAGCAATTTGGGCTGCAATAAGTGTGCACACTTGATTTTCTGTTGGACTTTGAAAGAGTGCTTTTTGTTGTTGGCAAATGTCAATTATAGGAAGCTACCCAAAGGCCCCATATACCCAAAGATATCATATCGATTTTTCACAACACACTAAAAACATTCAAATTACAAAGCGAGACAATTTTCTATCTCAAAGATTTCAACTTAAATAGGACAATCGGTTTGAAACAGAAGGACTAAAATAAAGGTTCTCGTAAGAGATGAAATGAGGAAATATCTTAAATAAGAAAAAATAATTTGAGTGCAAAGCCTAAAAGATCAATACCTTTCTGTATATCTAAAATGGCACTCTCTCCTGTCCTTAATATAATGCATTTTAAATTGTCATAGGTTTCACCTATTATACATTTTTTATTGAGGAAAAAACTTTAAAAATGGGTATTCACTTTCGTTGCGTTTTCCTTTTTTCTTAATTAGTAAGAAATATTTTTAAGGTTTTCTTTTTCCAATTAAAATTACATATTAAATTAAATAAATTTAGAACAAATCTAAATGGCTTGTATTAAGGACCGAAGGGAGTATTACGAAATTCTTCTATCTAATCACACAAGAATTTCATCTCAATTACGGGACTCTTTAGAATGAAGCACTAACAAATGATTACTTTTATTCTTACATAAAAAAGATTACATGACCAAAATATAAAAGACAAAAAAAAATGATTGTCTCCATTCATTCATTTCATTGTGCGAACATTAAAAAGATAAAGAAGCGCATTTGTTTATTGGCTATTCTGGGGACAAAAGAAACAAAGCCCCCCTAAAAGGAATGGAGCTCAGGTTGCAGAGTACGGTTTTGTCAGTTACCTCCTTCCGCAACAAGAACACCGGTATTTCCCTATCCCTTAATCTTGTCTAGGAATTAATTTTGCATCAAACATGTGCACGAGTGACTCAATCTTGCCTTCTAGCTTTAACTCTGTGTTTTACTGCAATGTATGATGTTATCCATTTATTTGGTGGTGGCAGATGAAGTTGCTGTGTATCCATAATTATCTTGCTCAAATTTGGTATCTTTACGCGTTTTTAGTTAATGGGTTGGTTTAATTTCTCAGTTAGGACTTCGGCAGAACCATTTAGTGAGATATTTGTGAGTATTTATTGGCTTTAAATTGAGCCATTGATGGGTTTTAATGGAGGCAGATAGACTTAATATTCTTGGTTTTCAATCAAGCCTGAGAATTTATGTGCGATTAAGATTTGGCTCGTGATAATGGTGGATACACCAACTATCAAGTAGTTGTAGTATACATGTGGCAGATGTGGCGTTAATCAAATAGACACGCTATTGTTGCCTGTTGGCTAACAGTTCCGGGAACTAACTGCTGAAACATTTCCTTTAATGGCACTTAAATGGTGACTTATAGATTAGGACGCAGTATATGAATGTTCTTGTTGGTTTGGTGATGAGCAACATTTGGAGAGTTCATTGAATCGAAATGATGGTGTAAAGATGGAGGTTGAAATATATTCCCTCTAAGGAGTGAATAAACTTTATTTTTGTACTGAAACAAAGATGTAAAATTTATGAGGGTAGTGTAGTTTGTATGAGGGACTGTCTGTCCCCTCTATTATGATTGAATTGGATGCATTATAGAGGGAGATAGTAATCTTAAATGTGAGACTTAAGGATAGTGTAGCTTACTTATTAGGATTCATTGGAGGTTGATATGGTACATGCATGGTAGAGGAGGATGGCCGTCTTAAAAGATTGATTAGCAAAAATTTTTGAACTGAGCCCGGGAGTGGAAGTGTGTGCAACCGCTGTAGTAATTCGCTTGTCAATTACGTCGTCCTCCTTTGCAATGCATCAAGAAACTAAAAAAAAAAAAAAATAAAGAAAGAAAAGGTTCTACAGTTTCCTTATCATATTATGATACATTTTTAAAGTGATAATGCACCCAATGGTTTCCATTTTATTGGGCTTCCATTGTTTATCAGAGCTCAATATGGGTATCTGTATTAAATATTCTTTTTATAGAATGAGCAGGGTGGAAATAAAATTACATTTTTGGATGAATTCAGATGGGCGGAGAAGCTAGACATAGCTGTATCACTTCTGTGTGCAGAATTTATTTTTATTCTCCTGGACTCTGCTGCTAATGTTTTCTTCAATCTTAAATTGTAACGAGTTTGAAACTTAGGATGCTATAGCTGATTTCTAGTTTCACAGACTAATATGCTCTCATTAACTGTGAGACATAGATCTCTGTTTAAACGTCAAGTTAAGTGTTTTTGAAACTCCAAGCAAGGAGAAGCTGTTAATGGAAATGCTAACTTCCTTGTCAGAAATTTCAGTATCTCTGTTTCCTATGGTGTCTGGAGTTCTCTGGCTTAAAAATTTAGGTTGTCTTTGTTGCAAAATATAAATGAGACATTTTTTCTGCATATTCGATTCATTTCATGAAAAGATTGTTTTTGGTTCTATGTGGCTGACAAATTGATCTGGAGTGGTTTCATGATCTAAGTGCTGGGCTTGATCTCTGGCTACAGCAATGGCTACTAAGCTTTTATCTTACAGTTTGATGTTAGCTGCATGGATCAAGTCCTTTATAGCTAACTTGAAACCTGAAAGACTAGATTCTTCCTTAAAAAGTTCTTTTGATTACTGAATGATACAACATTTTTGAAATGTCAATTTTTTTCCGTGAAGGATTTAAGTATTACATTTCTGAGTACTACTGTCCTATGCATCTTTTGATCTTAGAGGCAGCAAGAGCATCCAATCCCAGTAATCTTCTTCACAGACACATTTACTTTCCAACTGCCTTAAAGGTGAACCAACCAGTGCACAAGAAATTCACAACAATTTGTGCAGTACCAGAAACAGTTGCATCTGTTGTAGTTGCTGCTGCTATTGCTGGCGCTGCAGCTACTCTTCTTGCGAAGAGAACTGAGGATTCTGCAAAAACTGAGGTCAGTATGGTGGCTAATCATGCTCTATCTTAAACTTCGAGAGGAATGTTTAATATGGAACCTTACCACTAAGGGAACGGTAGTAAGATTTCCAAAATCTCTGCTTAATGTGTATATTTGTCTTGCGAATGCAGAAAGGTCACCTCTTTTTGGTTTGTTTATGTGCTTAATGCTTATGGTGAGGCTTAATTTTCCCGAGGGCTTGTGTTAAAAGGTTTTCTATGCTTCCTTGCAAATAACTAACTACATGAGGTTATTTTCCACTTCCCATTACTCCTACCAACGAAGCAGAACAAAAGAAAATGATACATAAACTGTAGTGCTTTTATGCAGTGACGCAACTTTTAATGAAGTTGAGAATTTTGAGGATTTTGCTTTTTAGATTTTCAAAGTTTTGAGGTTTCGACCATTAAGTGTTTGTTTGCACTGAAGACTCAAAGGGAATGGTGAGGGAATGATGCTTTTAGCTTCTGTTTCTTTCTGGGGATAACCTTAGAGCAGAAATCTTTTGGAGAAAGCCATCTATTCTTATTGTGCATGTAACAGTTGCTTCGCTTGTAATCTGAACCTTTTTCTTTCTTTTTTTTTTGTTTAAAATAAAAAAATAAAAAATATATATGTCAACCTGTATTGATTTTCAGGTCCCTACAAAAATATGTGATGACTGTGCTGGTTCTGGGATTTGCCCTGAGTGCAAAGGAGAAGGCTTTGTGTTAAAGAAACTATCGGACGAAAGTGCTGAGAGAGCGAGGATGATGGCCAAGAATGCGGCTACAAGATACACAGCAGGGTAAAAAGCTGTCATTTCCATAAATTCTTTTCCCTGTGCTTTTGTCTTGTTGGGAATTGAGGAAACAACATTTGAGTGACTTCCTCTTGTGGCAACAGGCTTCCGAAAAAATGGAGCTATTGTACAAAATGCTCATCTTCCCGATCGTGTAGAACCTGTGATGGTACTGGAAAGCTTAGCTTATAGATCAAGCCTAAAGAGTCAGGGATGTCTATGAAGTTTGTCGTTGAACATTGGCATGAATTAAACATTCGGATCGCAAGTCAGAAACAAAAGAAGGAACTCATGTATGTAAAAACTGTATTCTTTTCTCGTAGGATATCCAACTTGTACAGAAATTTTGTAGAAATTCTGATTGACCTTTTTTATGCCAGTGCAACTTCCAAAATGATTGTATAATGATTACAGAACTGATGGAAGCATCTTTTTAGGAATATAGGAGCCATGATTCATTCCACTTTTGAAGGGCAGAAGCAAAGTTTTGAATTCAGCATGTGCATGTCATCTAGACAGGCTTTCATTGCAAGAGAATATAAAATTTGTGCAATTTAACAAATGGAAGTCAAATCGCAAGAATTGTTGGAAGAAAATGATTTGTATAAGCACAGTGAAACAGATGAGAGGCTATCAATAACATGGGATGATCTGCCGTGCAGCTGTTCATAACTCTTCTACATGAAGCAAACTAGCTATCAGCAGATTCATAGTTGATTGTCTTTTTTTACTCTTCAAAACTGCAAAAACTGCCATATCCTTAAAGCATATGTTACTTAGAATCCAGCTTACACATTGACAAATATACTTTAATGTTCTGATTCAACAAAGTTTGGGGTTCCTGGTCAAAGTTTGCTTTACATTTTATTTATTTTTTTTATTTCTGCTTTTGTGTTGGATTCCTTTGTACTCTTTTACACCCTTTTTTTTTAATTTTTTTTTTATAGTATTAAAGAGAGGACAAAAATGTAAACTACATTCAACTTCTGAGCCCCCTACCAGTCAGCACATGCTGGTGAAGTAGCAAAAGAATAAACAATTTGGTGCTGAGTAATGTCTGCTAAAACGATAGGATAGTTTGGAGGTCAAATTGCAGGAATCTTAATTTCTTAATTAGGACGACATAAATTAGGATAAGTACGGACGAGAACTGCTGAAAGGCTATCAATGGAATCCACGACTATGGCCGTACAGCTGTCCAACAAAGTCTCCTATGCACATGGAGAAGCTACATTTATCAAACTCTAGTGGACTTTTTTCTTATAAGTAAAAGCTGTAATTATCATGAACTCACTCTCGCCAACGTCTCCCCCAATATATATATATATATATATGTATATATTGATTGAATTTTGAAATTAGTATTAATTTTAGTATAAAATTCAAAATTTAATGTGTATCTTTTTTTTTTGGACGTAGATAATAGTAATTTAAACTTCACTTTGACTAACAACCATACTAGTTCAATTTTATTGTTACCATATATGATTGGAAACTTATCAAAATAAGCACAAAACAACGACATATAATTGTTTGGAGAAATTTACATTAAAAAAAAGGAAATTACCAAATTCGAATGAAAATTAGTTGGTGATGTAAGATGTTGTGAGTAGTATAAACAAAAAGATAAATAAAACACCACTTGGAGTAAAATGATTAAAAAACTTTTCCTTATGCATTAAATTTGCGAGTAGCGCAGAATTCGGCAGAATTTGTGCTTGGGTTAGTTTCTTTTTATTGATTTTTGTTTCTTCTTCTTAATAAAAAAAAGTTAGTCTCCATGTTAGTTTGAAGCATATTCTTTTTGTTAACCAAAGGGATTTTTTTTTTTTAAAAAAAAGTAAAAGCAGCATATTCGTTATGCTGTTAGTATAAATTAGTATAAATTGACTTTTTGAGAGAGTGATTGGTTAGTGGTAATAACATGTTAATGGTGCATCATAAACGCAGCCAGACCAGCAATGTTAATTTTACTGTGTTTTGTTCATTGGTGGACTTTTCTTTTGCACAATTTAATGTTCATTTTCCACATCTTAAAAAACTAATTTGGGCAACGTGGCAATTATCGTTTAATATAACTTGGTCAACTTATCACAACTGTGCGTACTGCGTAGTATAGTTAGCCGTACTTATTTTGGTAATGTGAGATGCGCTCTCTTGTTTGACTTTGGATACCTTATCTCCCCCCTTAGCCATCGCTAGTAATTAGATGTATATACAGTCAGGCTTGATCTGGATGTGCCCAGAAATTAACGTTAGTCAGAAACGAGATTATCAAATATTAAAAATTTACTAAATCTGACAGTAAAAATTACTAACACTTGGCTCAAGCTCAAAAACCGAACTTGAACTGATTCAAGCAATTAGTAGACTATCACTAGTAAATAATTAAGAGCAGTTTTTAGTTATTGAGGTGATTATCATAAGATGAATTAATTAATTACTGTTGCTCATGATAAATACATATCGACATAAAATACACATAAACAACAATTGATTATTTTGTCTTAATGTCTTTCGTCTTTCATAGTATGTTTGTTATGGAAACGCTGTTGCGACGACAACTTTCAAGTTGAGTTGGAAAAAAAGGCATGCTCAGAAAGATCACGTAATGCTAACGTGTACAACCCTCAAAACTCTATAAATACCTCACCATTTCACCTCTTCTAAACCACACCAAAATCAAATTAAGCAGCATTTTCTCTTATCTGCATCTTTCTTTCCTCTCCATTTACCTAAAGCATTCTAACATTGCAATGGCTGACATTGAAGCTCCATATCATGGAAGAAGCTCAATGCAACAACAACAAACCTTTTCCTTCTCTATAACCAACAACAATAGCAACAATGACCATCATCAACAAACCACTGAACCACCAAAATTCTCACTGCCAGTGGATTCCGAACACAAGGCGAAATCCATGAAAATCTTCTCATTCGCGCAACCCCACATGAGATCCTTCCATCTGGCTTGGATCTCATTCTTCACTTGCTTCATATCCACTTTTGCGGCCGCCCCTCTTGTTCCCATCATCCGGGACAACCTAGACCTAACCCGGGCCGATATAGGCAACGCAGGCGTCGCCTCCGTGTCCGGGAGCATTTTCTCCCGGCTCGTCATGGGCGTAGTCTGCGACCTAATCGGCCCGCGTTACGGCTGCGCCTTCGTCAACCTATTGGTCGCTCCGGTCGTTTTCTCGACCGCGTACGTGTCCTCGGCCGAAGGATACATCGCGGTCCGGTTCATGATCGGGTTCTCTCTCGCGACTTTTGTTTCGTGCCAGTACTGGACCAGCACCATGTTTAACAGCTCGATAATCGGGACCGTTAACGGCGTTGCCGCCGGGTGGGGCGACATGGGTGGTGGATTCACTCAGCTTCTGATGCCGTTTTTAGTTCAGATTATTGAATTAGCCGGCGCAACCCCGTTCACGGCTTGGAGGATCGCTTTCATGATTCCGGGTTGGCTTCATATCATCATTGGGGTTTTGGTTTTGATCCTTGGTCAAGACATGCCTGATGGTAACCTTAGTACTCTTCAGAAACGAGGAGATGTTCACAAAGATAAATTCTCCAAAGTGAGTACTTTTTATTTATTTATTTATTTTTTTGGATTCTTTCCTTAACTTTTGGGGTCAACCAGCCAAATGGTCTCCTAACATTTTCTGTCCATTGGCTCTTTTTTTTTTTTTTTTTTTTCCTATAGGTTTTTCGTCATGCAGTCACAAACTACAGGACATGGATATTTTTCCTCTTGTACGGATTTTCCATGGGAGTTGAGCTGTGCATAAACAATATCATTGCAGAATACTTTTATGACAGGTAATTACTGTGGCCTAATTCAATCTCATAAATCTTGGTAATTTTATTGATCCATATTTATTAGTGTTAATAAGTAAGTAAATAATATAAGGACACTGAATGTCGATAATTGACTAACAAATTTAACCTTAAATTTGTTTTACTAGGTTCAACCTTAAACTACACACAGCTGGAATCGTAGCTGCAAGTTTCGGAATGGCCAACTTCTTTGCCCGCCCGTTTGGCGGATTCGCCTCCGATTTCGCGGCTCGAAGGTTCGGGATGCGGGGAAGATTATGGGTGCTTTGGACGGTCCAAACCCTAGGAGGAATCTTCTGCATTTGGCTCGGCCTTTCCGACTCTCTCGCAATAGCCATATTAGCCATGATGCTCTTCTCCGTCGGAGCTCAAGCCGCTTGCGGAGCCGCTTACGGCGTCATCCCTTTCATTTCCCGACGATCACTCGGCTTGATCTCCGGCCTAACCGGCGCCGGAGGCAACTTCGGAGGCGGGTTGACCCAACTGCTCTTTTTCTCCAACTCGAGATTCTCCACTGCCAAAGGGCTTACTTATATGGGCGCAATGGCGGTGGCTTGTACTTTACCCGTGGTTTTGATTCATTTCCCTCAATGGGGAAGCATGTTTACTGGGCCTTCAAGTGATGAGAAATATACCGAAGAATATTACTATGAATCTGAATGGACTGAGGAAGAGAAATCAAGAGGAATGCACCATGGAAGTGTTAGGTTTGCTGAGAATAGCCGATCTGAACGTGGCAAGAAGATGGCTATGATAACCAACACTGATAGTACTACTCCTAATGTCACACCCACCCATGTGTAATCATGTGGTATTACCACTATTACTACATAATCTACATTATCTACATAAAATCAATTATTACTATATATATATGTAAAATAGTAGATGCTTATAATTTGGTTTAAGAAATAATTGGGTGTGTTAATTAGTGTAAGTTGTGAAGAAGGGATTGAGATTTGTATCTTGCAGTTGCTGCAAACTAAATACATATCCATGATCGATATATTTAACGGAGTTCTTATTTTGGTATACACTCTTATATATCCATTTTCAGGTTTGCTTTAATCTATCGTTTCATAATTTTATTGTAATTAGCATTTTCTTTCTTCTAAATCATATGTCCTTATGATAACAGTTTTGTTTGTTAATTATCCTCTCATTGTTCCGTTCCAATCCCATAACACTTAGATTACAATGGATTATTTACAATATAGAGCGTTCATGGCACCTTTCAATTCTACTGGGATTCTATTCAGCGGTCTAAATTCGATTCAGAGTTTGATATTTTACAAATGCGACTTGAAAATGAAAATTTTATTACACTGTGTTCTGACCTTCTTGGACAATCTAGGTGAATATTGTAATTAGATTCTTTTTTTTTTTTCCAGAAAACTAGTCCAATTTCACAAATCCAAATCTTAAAATTGGACTTACAAGATTTATACGTTTTTTTTTAAAAAAACAATGCTTGATTTTTTTTTTTCCGGAAAAATAGTCCAATTTTGAAAAATCAATTCATTCATTTTGTAGATTTAAAATTATCATGCTTGATTACTTTCAGAACCGAAATAATATTATTTACTGGATTAATGTATTAAAATTTTTTCACGAGTGCGATAGCTAGCTAGCTACTCTTTGCTTTAGCAGCCTTTTCATTTTTTAACCTGGATTTATGACCGGAAAGCTTAGACATAAGTATGACGATACTGATGTACGTACTTAGCTGGATCTTTGACAAAAGGGTGAAAACATTGGTCTAAAACTAATTTTTGTTACTGTCAGCATATGTGATAGTACGTACCAAATTGTCTTACATACTCATATATATATGGGAAATTTTAGAGTCCAGTTTCTCTTTTTTGACTATATAGTCTAGTTAAAATTCAACCAATCAAAATTGATAGCATATCATGTTACATGGGGTGAGAAACATTGGAACACATTCACAATAGTTAGTAATTTTTTAAAAAATTACCTAGATAAAATTAAAATTATCTCAATAAAATAGGAATCCATTTACTCTTTTTTTCAGATAAATTGACTCCCACAACTCAATCTGGATTCATTTTTTAAAGCCATTCTACATCAAGTATTCGATCATCATTTATGCGAGTTAAATGGTGCTTCGGTAGTTTTACCTCCGCCATTATGAAGACTCAAAGTTGTACTGGAGCTTGAACATTCGAACTCTAAAGCATTATTTTCCAGAAGCTTAAGTATAGGCATTTGTTTTAGAGTATATAAAGACCATTTGTGAGAGACAAATAATTAATGCTCTTTGAAATGCAGCAAACTGCTTGACTGCTAAAAAAAACATAAAAGTAATGCTGAAGTATTGATGGCCAACGTTATTAGGCTGCAAGAACTCAGTCATACAGGATGCGTTAATGTTGCATTCTGTAGCTGTGAGGCTATTCTTCTACCTCTTCTTTTCCGCTCCCGGATGATGAGGGTGCAATGACTTATTATATACACGAAGCTATTGGATTAGTATCATGAGTGATATGCGATTCATGTATCATTTCTTTGCTGCTAGGCTGGAGCATTTTTCCGCCGTCTGTCTTGTTTCATGTTTGGCATTCAGAAATCAACCTAGTCAGTGAAAATTCTTAGTAATGAGATTAATAACACTCGGACATCCAATTGGAACTCCTAATTGGTTTAACGACAACTAAGTGATAAACCTTATAAGCTCTGTTTTGTCACTGTATATGAACTTGCCTTTAAAAGATGTTCTGGCATTTCATGAGCAAAGAATCGACATCATGATGGTCTCACCAACTTTTCACAGAATGCCATCATGATTGGACGTTGTTTGAAGCAACTTCCGGAGCAGCAGGGTCTTCTTCGCATAACATCAAGGCAATAATATGGAAAACAGAGGAGCATGTTGATGGTCTCGATTTCAGAAATATTACAACAAAGCTTCACCTTCTCAATTAGGACAGAAATGACATGGGACTGGTTTTGACCATCATTCTGAAACCATAACATCGGTAGACCATTCAATTGGTCCTTGCTTGTGAGTCGTGACCGGCTCTTTTTTTGGTGGTGTGACATTGAGCACACTTGGTATTGAAGATAGCCTTAGAATCAGCAAGTGGTGCTTCCTCGAAAGAAGCAATTGTCAGATGAAACAGACGGCAAGATCCTTAGAGTTTCCGGTGGGAGAAAGAGCGGCAGCGTCAGGCGTGTGGAGAAATTTGATCATATTGTTATTTGGTTCCCGTAATTAATCAGTTGCCAGTTTTCTGGGGTATAATCAAATGTATTTGGCTATATTTTCTTAAAATAGGCCCTAATTTTAATCTTAGGGTTATCAATTGCTCTAATTGATCCTACGGTGATTGATTTATGACTGAACTGTTCAGTCGACTGGACGGTAGCTGCTATATATATATATATAGCGACTACAGATAATAACATCTATAAGATCAAAGAAAATCAATTGCCTCTATTAAGATTAAGGAAGACACACCATAAAAGAAGATAGAATTTCAACTGGTTGCGTACTATCAGCTCTCTTTCTTTTCCCTTTTCCTCTCTCTTCAAAATTGATCGGTTTACATTAATTTTAATAGTAAAATTCAGAAAGAAAAACATTTAATGTTAAATTTAAAGATGAATGAAGAATTTTTTGTAATCCAAAAGCTTGCTCGCTAAGTACAAACTCAATCCAGACACATGCAATCAGATTTTTACGCTTTGTTTATTTCCTTCTCTTGATGGTTTTTTTTTTTCTAAAAAATTAATATATTAATAGCTAGTCTTGTCCCAGCATATCTTTTTATATTTTTAATATACTTTTTTACATTCCTAATATAAAAAACATCTAAAAACATACACTACAAAAACGAAACAAACATACCCTTAATATCCAGAAGGGTCGAAGATCTTGACAAGGATTTAGCAAAGTGTGGAGTGTTCTATCTATCCTGTGGTCTGTGGAGAATGGTCTTCTGACTAGATTTTGGTGGGACAATTGGACAAATTGTTCGGTTCCGTTATTTGTTTGTAAAAAAGTTGCTTCCCGCTATGGCTGTTAGTGGCAACGATCAAAACCTTTCTATAATCATGTCATAGGAGGACCTGATAGGACGAATTGGGGGGTTTTGTCGCTATATGACTAAGCCAAACATATGATTTGATTACACTGTCCGGCACCTTCGAGTACCCGTTGCTCTGGTCAATAATATGGAAATAGCCAGTGACGGAGTTAGGATTTTATGAATACAGGTGCGAAATGATCAAAATTTTAATGTGTAGGGGCAAAAATATATTTTCTCCGGTCTTTAATATAAGACACTTTGATTTCGTCATAGGTTTCACTTAGTACGCAATTTTTATTGACGAAAAAAATCTTAAAAATATATTTTCACATTCGTTGTATTCTCTTGATTGTTATGAAATGTTTTTAAGTTTTTTTTTTGTCAATTAAAAATAAGTACTAGATTAAATATAGGACGAAATCAAAATATTTTATATTATGAACCGGAGAGAGTATATAAGAAAATTCTATTTACACTAAAATTAATTTGAAACCACTCTATAGGAAGAAATTTTGGCGAGGTCCCCTTGCTCCGCCACTGGAAATAGCCAGGTCTTCCACAAGTGAGACAGTTTTTGTGGTTTAAAGCTCAACAGAGGCAGTTGACAAACATTGAACGTCATCGTCGTCTTATGGGTGAAGCGACGGCTGAGAAATTTGTGGCTATGAGGCTGAATCTGTAAAGCATGGATTTATTTGGTCCCGGTAAAAGTTTCAACACCAATTTTTGTTTTCGAATCATGACGAGTTGTTGTAGAAAAATTTCTTTGATCCTGCTAACGTTTCAACACCACTTTTTGTCTTCTAATTAATCATGACAAGTTGTGGGAAAATTTGATAATTTCATGGAGAGTTGAGATATAGGCTTTACTGGTTGGTATGTGGTCTTGTGGACAGACGAGATCGAACACAAAGTTGTCGCTAGGCAAAATGCAATATGAGAAATATTATTCAGATTACAAATTTCATTTACTTGAATAATGATTACGAAGCAAAACCAATGAATTTGGGTCAATGGACTGCAACCAATTGTATCTGGAGCCATACATTTTTTAAGTATAAAGATTCGTGCCAAAGGTTTATCCTGGCAGAAGGAAGAAACTTGGAACTTTGGCAGAAAAACAGAACGCGACCTAATGATGATGAAAATTAAAATTCCAATTAAGGGAGTTACTGGTAACAGTAGGTGACTCAATTAGTTTTATCAATGTAGAGCGTATAAAGATGTGTTAGGATAATCAATGACAGAACACACACACACACATATATATATATATATATATATATATTCAACTATATATCGTTAAAATTCATTAATCAAGAGAGACAAAGAGAAACTATACTTTTTTTTGTTACAAAAAAAGAGGATATGCCTATATTCTAACTTCTCGAGAATATGCAATCTCGATTATATCATGTTCCAATCATGGTATCACTTCTTGTGGAGGATTATCAAAAAATTGCAAACCCCTATGTCCTTGAGCGTCAAGAAAGCCATGCAGTCAGCTACAAAATTAGATTCCCGATAAATGTGATTGAGCTCTACCTTCCACTCCCTCATCAACAAGTCACGAATACCATAAACTACTCAGCATTAATGTCCAACACTTCCTCGTCGCAAACCGAAAGAGAGAAACCATATTTATCATTCATAAAATCATAAGTCAAAACCCTTCATTAAATTCTTCACGAAACATTGACTTAATCTCCCCCCTCCGATAGTTTTGCAATTTATTGTTTTTTTTTATAAAAAAATTACTATTACAATTTTCATTAAAGATTAGTGGAAATAATACCACACCAATCGAGATACAATGATAGAGACCTAAGAAACCCCACTCCAAAATGTAATTTAATCACAGCTTAATTTGGCAAACTGAGAAAATAAAGATACTTCCTCTATTTCAAAATATTACTCACTTTAGATTTTACACTTTAGATATGGTCTCTGAGCTAATCATTCTACAATTAATTTGTGT